TACAAGAACTTCCTGTCACGCCTCCTTTACAAAGGCCTTTACAGATTATCTTGCAGTTCTGATATCTCAAGGGTCCTATTATGTCTTGAAGCGGACACGAACAGACAGAAACTAAGAACATGAGGTTGAGCAGGGTTAGGCCATACTGCTCCCCAAAGAGCTCAGATTAGACAGAGATAGTTTACTATCAGCAAGCAACTGAAAACACAAGATGAGGCAACATTCTATCGAAACACTGAAAAAGTCAGACTGAAAAACCAAACTATTTTCCACGTCATACTCCATTAGCGCTATTATTGTAGTGTACAATGAAGTGAAGAAATGTATAATACACAGTTATGACACACACAGAAGCCTCAGAAAACCTCTTGGCAGACAAATGTGTTCACATTCAAATACAGGATCATCCTCCCTTTGTTGGGATAATCACCCATTAAGAGAAGATTTTAATTATTGTCTGGAATTAAGCTGCCGTGCCCTGCCATATATGGTTTCTTATCATTAACCTGAATTTTAATTTTCCCTTTGCCAGAACATTCAGTAGAGGGAGAGATATAGAGAAAATGTGTGCAATAATGAAATAAATGTGAATTTCATCATAACTTTAGACATATAGGCTTAGGCCTATTTGTCACCTGTCCAGTAAAAATGTTTTAGGCCTTATTAGAAAAGTGTACAGTAGCCCACTGTATGCCATAACTATGATGAGCAGTGGTTTTAGCTCTGTTTATTTGACAGATCTCTTTATATCAAATACAGCAGGAAATGTTATAGGTTTTCTAACTGGAGTGGTACTAAACTACCATAAGTTTGCCACCTTTGTTGTAACCCAAACTGTACAGTAACACTGGAACAGGTGCTATCAAGTATATACATTTGTGTAGCCCAGTACTCAGAGACGGTATACAGTACATGGGATCCTTGGCAGTTCAGGAGGGAGTAACAGAGTGGTGAAAGGAAGGGCAGTGAGCTGGTCATGTGGCATCAGGAGAACTAGATTATCCCCCTCCCTTACATGGTTCATCATATGAGAACCTTTGGAACCTCTGCTGTGGTGAGGTCCTGGCTGGGCTCTATTTTGTCTCTGTCACAGTGTGTGATTGTCTCAGCTCTCACAGTACATTTCCCAAAGTTGAGATTTATTTTGTTTGTTATTGTTTTGCAATGTTCATAGAGTGAAATCCCAGTTAAAAAAATAAGATATTTTATTGTCACACAGCAGACTGGTGCAGTGAAATGTGTTGTTTTACAGGGTCAGCCATAGTAGTACGGCACCTCTGGAGCATTTTGACACACAGAACAGTGGCCATTTGCCTGATATTTGGGAAGTCATGTTGGCACAATCGTATTGTTTTTTTATTATCAGTGCATTATTGAATCCAAGCCAAGAGTCATGTATTTCCGTGAGTTATATAATAGTATGTTCCAGCGTTGTATGATGAAATGAAACGCCCTATTTGCCCTGTATCCCATAATCCATTTCACTTTTATTTGACCATCTTTCACACAGGAAGCTTTCATGTCTGCCAGATAAAATGTGAATGCTTAAAGTACTCAGCTAGTATAACAGTACAACAACCAGTATGAAGTTGATCAAGGTATTGGCAAAAAATAAAAACCACAGCATGTCAAATGTGTGTTTGGGTGAGAAGAAAACAGGGTAATGGTTGCATACACATGCACTTCCACTGCAGCCTGTCTCTCTGATTAGATCAAACCACATTGTGTAGGTAAGTCAGCATAAGGAGTTGTCCACATACACCAGTCAGAATCCCCCAATGCGTATATGGCTTGAATTTATTATCAGGTCCACTAGGTCATGCCTGATTTTAATAATCCTCCATACCTCACCTTCTGCAAACTGATGCTGTGTTACAAAGTAGCCTAATGTGCCTCTTTTTCTCTAATCACTCAGTTTCAGGCTGCCATTGAGAAGTCTCATTAATTGGATATCCTTCATACAAGCTGTCCAGAGGCAACTGCCACCTACTGGTGTCTGATGTTCATAACATGTGCAAATGAGAAAATGGTGGAGAGTACTTGGCTAGCAATACCCATAATGGCTATACAATGGAAGGAGAGATTTGATGCTGCATATTGTGAATAGCGGTTTTCATATATTTTATTTGCATCGGTATGTAAAAGTACCTGGCAGTATTTGTGTACCATCTATACATTCTTGAATTCCTTCACAATGAATGCTTTGTGCATTATGCAATCTTTTTTTGGTGTGATTTTTTGTTGTTGTTGTTGCCAAAAGACATGCATCATCAAATATTTAGTTGATATAAACATCCTATCAAGACGCATGGGGTATAATCATTTAATAAGGTGAGCATAGTGTGGGTATATTCATTGTGTTCATTACTAGAACTACATAATTTATCATGAACACTGAAACCTGATATAATTGTTAGAATATATCATTAATTGAGCAGGATCAACATTGATTCTCTTCATCGTTCGTATGATCAGTTTGCCAGTGCACCTGAATACAGAGATGCTTTCCACCTGGTTCTCCCTGGAAACAAAAAAAAAAACATGTCTCCATTTCACCTCCTAGTTTCCATGGCAACATAGCTGTTGGTGAGGATAGCTGTACTCCACTTCTCCTCAAGGGAAAAAAAAAGCAGAATAAAAGGAGACCAAATGAGATGAAGAAAGACCATGAGCAAAAGAGAGAAGAAAACAACATGACGAGTGAGGGATGAAGATAGTGAATGTCAGAGGAAGATCGATTGACGCAAGTTACCACAGCAAGCTGTTGTGCAGGATATTGCATCTATAACAACTTATAGTTGTTCCCAGTGACCAAAATTGGTTGAAAGACGTCTTTTCAACGTCTTGTGCTCATAGGGTTAATTGAATCCCCTATCTGTTTGCTCCTGTTCTATATTGACTTTTTCATTTGAATTTCTCGGAGATGCAAGGTTCCCCTTCTCTTGTGACCTATAGTTTTTTGTGTCTTGCTTTGCTATTTGTGTGCATGCATGCGTATGTGCTGCATTTGTGCATGCACCTGCATCCAAATAAATGCACAATACGTTAAATTAAAAATGGTATTGTACAGTGCCTTCAGAAAGTATTCATACCCCTTGACTTTTTCCACATTTTGTTGTGTTACAGCCTGAATTTAAAATGGTTTAAATTGAGATGTTTTTGTCACAGGCCTAAACACAATACCCCACAATGTCAAAGTGGAATTATATATTTTGAAATTTTTACAAATGTAATTAAAAATGAAAGGTTGAAATGTCTTGAGTCAATAAGTATTCAACCCCTTTTGTTATGTCAAGCCTAAATAAGTTCAGGAGTAAAAATGTGTCATGTAAGTTGCATGGACACACTGTATGCAATTATATTGTTTAACATGATTTTTGAATGCCTACCTCATCTCTGTACCCCACACATACAATTATCTGTAAGGTCCCTCAGTCGAGCAGTACATTTCAACCACAAAGACCAGGGATGTTTTCCAATGCCTCGCAATGAAGGGCACCTATTGGTTGATGGGGTAAAAAAAAAAAGAAGCAGACATTGCATTTCCCTATGAGCATGGTGAAGGTATTAATTACACTTTGGATGGTGTATCAATACACCCAGTCACTACAAAGATACTGGCATCCTTCCTAACTTCGTTGCCGGAGAGGAAGGAAACCGCTCAGGGATATCACCATGAGGCCAATGGTGACATTAAAACAGTTAGTTTACTGGCCGTGATAGAAAACTCCACAATACTAACTTAATTGACAGAGTGAAAAGGAAGCCTGTACAAAATACAAAACATGCATCCTGTTTGCAACATGGCACTAAAGTAATACTGCAAAACATGTGGCAAAGCAATTTACTTTTTGTCCTGAATACAAAGTGTTGTGTTTGGGGCAAATCCAATACAACACATTACTGAGTACCACTCTCTAATTTTTTAAGCATAGTGGTGGCTGCATCATTACATTTTACATTTACATTTTAGTCATTTAGCAGACGCTCTTATCCAGAGCGACTTACAGTTAGTGAGTGCATACATTATTATTTTTATTTTTCATACTGGGCCCCCGTGGGGGTATGTTATTGGTATGCTTGTAATCATTAAGGACTGTGGAGTTTTTCAGGATAAAAAATAAGATTAATGGAGCTAGGCACAGGCAAAATCCTAGAGGAAAACCTGGTTCTGTCTGCATTCCACCAGACACTGGGAGATGAATTCACCTTTCAGCAGGACAATAACCTAAAACACAAGGCCAAACCTACACTGGAGTTACAGTTTTGACTTAAATATGGTTGAAAATCTATGGCAAGACTTGGGAATGGTTGTCTAGCAATGATCACCAACCAATTTGACAGAGCTTGAAGAATTTTGAAAAGAATAATGGCCAAATCTTGTACAATCCAGGTGTACAATCCAGAAAGACTCACAGCTGTAATCGCTGCCAAAGGGGTGTGAATACTTATGTAAATGAGGTATTTCATTTTCAATACATTTGCTAAAATGTCTAAAAACATGTTTTCACTTTAGTGTTTTTTTGTGTGTATATATATATATTTTTTTTAATGTAATCCATTTTGAATTCGAGCTGTAACATAACAAAATGTGGAATAAGCCGAGGATTATGAATAGTCTCTGAAGGCACTGTAAAATAATTACTTTTGTTCCCGGACAAAAAATATATATATTTGATATAGGGATGGTGTGTAATGAAAAGCACTCCTGATTTCACAATATGGCTACGACATGTCTAGCATCTATCTCAGAGGGAGGGAGATACGATGAAGAACAGCCCGCTTGCTCTATCAGCCAGGGAGGGAGATTTAAATAAAGGAATAGCCTGTTTGTTCTTTTGCAGGGGGAGGGAGACACAGGGAGCAACTGCTTGTTTGTTCTATCACACAGGAGAGATCGAGAGATGCAAATAAAGGAACAACCTGTTGGCTTGACTGAGGGCAACGTAAAATAAGGAACTGTGTTTGAATTTACCAGGAAAAACGTCACAAATAAAGAAATGGCTCCGGTGTGCTTGTGCAGAGGGAGGGCATCAGAAGTAAAAGGAAGAGCCTGTTGGTTTGACTGTGGAGGGAGGGTGCCACTAATAACGGAACAGCTCTGGTCTCCTATTGTAGAGTGATGGAGACACAGAACAGCCTGTTGACATTTCGGGCCATGTGACCAGAAGCACAGAAGTCATGCAGCTGAAAACCGTCTTACCGGTAGTTTATTTATTTATCTCTCTCTATCAATCTGTCTATACCTTTTACCAGTATGAATTCCCAAATATCCAAGCTTAGATGTCAAAGTCTAAAGGTAAATCCATTTGAATTCAATCACTTTTTGACAACACCCCTTTTTGATTGAATGATACCTTCCATACATATTTGCCCATTGTAGAAGTGCTCAGAAAGTGACTTTTTGGACCTGAATGGCAAAACATTAAAGAGATATAAAGGTGCACAAAGTTGACCTATTTTGCATACCCCACCAGACCATGGGACATCATGTCTTCATCACTGGAAAATATATAATTTTAAAAGCTTACAAACTGGATGGGCATGGTTATTCGAATATCCGTGAAGCAAGTGAAGTGGAACATTTCTAGTCAATGCAAAATGTAATGAAAGTTGGCTAAATGAGAGAGAGTTTGCTACAATGATCAACCAACCGGTACTAGGCTGCTGTTTCATTTGAATGGAGTTGTTGTAGACAAGTACAGGGAGCGCAGAAAAATAGACACCATTTGCCTTCCTACTTTATCTAGCAAGCTTCTTTACAGCGATTTGATGCAGTCAAGACAGGCACAACCAGATGGTATGATAAATAACCTATAGCAGCAACAAGTTTGTCTCTCTCTCGCTCTCCCTTCCACACACAGACTCACACACACCGGCCCCTGCTCCTCTATCGCCCCTCCCCACTGTTCTGCTGAAACAAGCAGAGTGCAGCGCACCGGCTCTCTCGAGTCTCCTGAGTAAAGGCTTCCGCGTGCTTCATTTCGGCTGGCGGCTAGCAGAAGTCAGCTAGGCGAACCGAATGACTGTGCTCGCATACTCCCTTGAAGTATATTTTGCTTGAAAAAACACGGCAATAGTACTGTTCGGCCATTTTGAGACGCCGTAGCCAGCATACACTTCCTCAAAATAGTCTGAAATAATCTAAGATAACTCAAGAAATCTGTCATTTTTACGTTTTTGCCGAGGAGATCTTAGTCGCGCAATTTTACATCTAAGATGTTTGGGGCAGTATTTTCAATGAAAAAATTGCATGAAAAGGAGTCGTCTCGTTGTATGACAACATACTTTATTGAAGAATCCCTACTGTTGACCAATCACCGACGAAGGGGGGTAGACTTCGGCTACCGGCTTCCGCTTGCCTCAAGAAAAAAATGTGTGCCCTAACAGCCAGAAGAAGAAGAGTCCAAAACTAACATAAACGTCACAAAAGTTGGCATAATATATGCACGGACTCTTCCGAACTGTTTCGGCTGAGAGTCTCCATTGAAGTTTCAAAAACCATAATGTATTTCGACTATCCGGATACCTGAAAAAATATAATGATATTTAATATGCCATTTAGCAGACGCTTTTATCCAAAGCGACTTACAGTCATGTGTGCATACAATTTTAGGAATGGGTGGTCCCGGGGATCGAACCCACTACCCTGGCGTTACAAGCGCCATGCTCTACCAATTGAGCTACAGAGGACCAGATATTATTTGAATAGTGAAATCATTTCAAATGCCCATCCCTATTACAAACAGGGTTGTCAAATTGTCATAATTTCGTAGGACATATTTTATTTTAAAATATATTTTTTTTACCTTAAACGTCAGTTATCAAAAAACACATGAATTCATTTTTTTGTGTATATACACTATATATACAAAGTATGTGGACACCTCTTCAAATTAGTGGATTCTTCTATTTCAGCCACACCCATTGCTGACAGGTGAATAAAATCAAGCACACAGCCATGCAATCTCTATAGATAAACATTGGCAGTAGAATGGCCAGTACTGAAGAGCTCAGTCACTTTCAACGTGGCACCGTCATAGGATGCCACATTTCCAACAAGTCAGTTCGTCAAATTTCTGCCCTGCTAGAGCTGCCCTGGTCAGCCATAAGTGCTGTTATTATGAAGTGGAAATGTCTAGGAGCAACAACGGCTCAGCCGCGAAGTGATGGGCCACACAAGCTCACAGAATGCGACCACCGAGTGCTGTAGCGCGTAAAAATCATCTGTCCTCGGTTACAACACTCACTACCGAGTTCCAAACTGCCTCGGGAAACAACGTCAGCACAAGAACTGTTCGTCGGGAGCTTCATGAAATGGGTTTCCATGGCCGAGCAGCCGCACACAAGCCTAAGATCACCATGCGAAATGCCATGGCTGGAGTGGTGTAAAGCTCGCCACCATTGGACTCTGGAGCAGTGGAAATGCGTTCTCTGGAGTGATGAATCACGCTTCACCATCTGGCAGTCCAACGGACAATTCTGAGTTTGGCGGATGCCAGGAGAACGCTACCTGCCCCAATGCATAGTGCCAACTGTAAAGTTTGGTGGAGGAGGAATAATGGTCTGGGGCAGTTTTTTCATGGTTTGGGCTAGGCTCATTTGTTTGTGACGGGAAATCTTAACACTACAGCATACAATGACATTCTAGATGATTCTGTGCTTCCAACTTTGTGGCAACAGTTTGGGGAAGGCCCTTTCCTGTTTCAGCATGACAATGCCCCATGCACAAAGCAAGGTCCATACAGAAATGGTTTGTTGGAGGCCAGGTCATCCGTTCACACATGCGGAGATCATACGTTTACCTACCCTGCGTCTCACAAGACACGGCGGTTGGAACCAAAAATCTCAAATTTGGACAGATTTCCACCGGTCTAATGTCCATTGCTCGTGTTTCTTGGCCCAAGCAAGTCTCTTCTTCTTATTGGTGTCCTTTTAGTTGTGGTTTCTTTGCAGCAATTCGACCATGAAGGCCTGATTTCACGCAGTCTCCTCTGAACACTTGATGTTGAGATGTGTCTGTTACTTGATCTCTGTGAAGCATTTATTTGGGCTGCAATTTCTGAGGCTGGTAACTCTAATAAACGTATCCTCTGCAGCAGAGGTAACTGGGTCTTCCTTTCCTGTGGCGGTCCTCATGAGAGACAGTTTCATCATAGCACTTGATAGTTTTTGCGACTGCACTTGAAGAAACTTTAAAAGTTCTTGACATTTTCCGGATTGACTGACCTTCATGTCTTAAAGTAATGATGAACTGTCGTTTCTCTTTGCTTATTTGAGCTGTTCTTGCCATAATATGTACTTGGTCTTTTACCAAATAGGGATATTTCTGTATACCATCCCTACCTTGTCACAACACAACTGATTGGCTCAAAAGCATTAAGAACGAAATCAATTCCACAAATTAACTTTTAAGATGGCACACCTGTTAATTGAAATGCATTCCAGGTGACTACCTCATGAAGCTGGTTGAGAGAATGCCAAGAGTGTGCAAAGCTGTCATCCAGGCAAAGGGTGGCTACTTTGAAGAATCTAAAATATTAAATATATTTTGATTTGTTTAACAATTTTTTTGTTACTACAAGATTCCATATGTGTTATTTAATAGTTTTGATGTCTTCACTATTATTCTACAATGTAGAAAATAGTAAAAATAAAGAAAAACCCTTGTATGAGTAGGTGTTTCCAAACTTTTGGCTGGTACTGTGTGTATATATACACTGCTCAAAAAGATAAAGCGAACACTTAAACAACACAATGTAACTCCAAGTCAATCACACTTCTGTGAAATCAAACTGTCCACTTAGGAAGCAACACTGATTGACAATAAATGTCACATGCTGTTGTGCAAATGGAATAGACAACAGATGGAAATTATAGGCAATTAGCAAGACACCCCCAATAAAGAAGTGGTTCTGCAGGTGGTGACCACAGACCACTTCTCAGTTCCTATGCTTCCTGGCTGATGTTTTGGTCACTTTTGAATGCTGGCGGTGCTTTCACTCTAGTGGTAGCATGAGACGGAGTCTATAACCCACACAAGTGGCTCAGGTAGTGCAGCTCATCCAGGATGGCACATCAATGTGAGCTGTGGCAAGAAGGTTTGCTGTGTCTGTCAGCGTAGTGTCCAGAGCATGGAGGCGCTACCAGGAGACAGGCCAGTACATCAGGAGATGTGGAGGAGGCCGTAGGAGGGCAACAACCCAGCAGCAGGACCGCTACCTCCGCCTTTGTGCAAGGAGGAGCAGGAGGAGCACTGCAAAATGACCTCCAGCAGGCCACAAATGTGCATGTGTCTGCTCAAACGGTCAGAAACAGACTCCATGAGGGTGGTATGAGGGCCCGACAGTCCACAGGTGGGGGTTGTGCTTACAGCCCAACACCGTGCAGGACGTTTGGCATTTGCCAGAGAACACCAAGATTGGCAAATTCGCCACTGGCGCCCTGTGCACTTCACAGATGAAAGCAGGTTCACACTGAGCACATGTGACAGACGTGACAGAGTCTGGAGACGCCTTGGAGAACGTTCTGCTGCCTGCAACATCCTCCAGCATGACCGGTTTGGCGGTGGGTCAGTCATGGTGTGGGGTGGCATTTCTTTGGGGGGCCGCACAGCCCTCCATGTGCTCACCAGAGGTAGCCTGACTGCCATTAGGTACCGGGATGAGATCCTCAGACCCCTTGTGAGACCATATGCTGGTGTGGTTGGCCCTGGGTTCCTCCTAATGCAAGACAATGCTAGACCTCATGTGGCTGGAGTGTGCCAGCAGTTCCTGCAAGAGGAAGGCATTGATGCTATGGACTGGCCCGCCCGTTCCCCAGACCTGAATCCAATTGAGCACATCTGGGACATCATGTCTCGCTCCATCCACCAACGCCACGTTGCACCACAGACTGTCCAGGAGTTGGCGGATGCTTTAGTCCAGGTCTGGGAGGAGATCCCTCAGGAGACCATCCGCCACCTCATCAGGAGCATGCCCAGGCGTTGTAGGGAGGTCATACAGGCACGTGGAGGCCACACACACTACTGAGCCTCATTTGACTTGTTTTAAGGACATTACATCAAAGTTGGATCAGCCTGTAGTGTGGTTTTCCACTTTAATTTTGAGGGTGACTCCAAATCCAGAACTCCATGGGTTGATAAATTTGATTTCCATTGATAATTTTTGTATGATTTTGTTGTCAGCACATTCAACTATGTAAAGAAAAAAGTATTTAATAAGATTATTTCATTCATTCAGATCTAGGATGTGTTGTTTAAGTGTTCCCTTAATTTTTTAGAGATGTGTGTATGTATGTATATGTATATGTGTTGTAGCTTAGACCCTGCTTTAGAGACACAACATGCTCTTGAATACAGGGTGGGAGTAATTTTTTTGGCTAATAAATGTACATCAAACAATGTTGACTTGAATGGGAATATCTTTTTTTAAATTATGCCTTCAATCTTCCATAGGAAACCTATTGAAATCATAGAAATATAGATAATAGAATAGCCATGAGCATTTCAACGGTGGGTGGACCGGCAGCCATCTTTGTAGTAGTAATTAGAAGTTACAATTTCTATTACATTTCAATGGTGTAGCTGTACCAGATAAATTGTAGTAGTCTGAAGTGATACGTCCATTCTATTAATTTTCTTTGTATGATTGAAATGACACCCACCTTGTATTCAAGAGTATGTTGTGTCTCAACCAATGGCGGGCACAACACAAAAACCTCAGATAATGTAAATTAGGGTTTAAGCTACAACATATGCGAAAATATGAAATAAATCAGAGTTTACATGTTTTTAGATAATTGACGTTAAAGGTTAAAACATATTTTAAAAAATTACACCCAAACATTTCCCCACCACCATCAGTTGCCCATCCCTGTGCTATATGGACAGCTCTGTTGGGTGTTGAATACTTCACTCTAATTATTTTAATCACTGGGCAAACTAGTCTGCTGAGCGCAAAGTTGAATGTTGTGAAAATTCTGTGCAACTTCCGGCGCACGTTTACTGTTAACACTGAGGCTGTACCCGCTTTAAGTTAGTTTTAACAGTGGTCAAGTAGGCTACTGTGGCTATTTGATCATAGCGTAGGCCTACCAGAGTGGCCTACCATCAAAAACAATGGAGAAAATGCATCCCATAACATTTTAACATGGAAATAGCTGTTCTATCGTTCAGCCTACAGTAGCAGCAAATGTGTTGTGTTCAATGTAGGCCTACATTCCATGAGACTTTTGAAAAAAACATGCAGGGCTTGACATTTAACCTGTTTATCCACTTGTGCTTCAGACAAGGAGGTGACTAAAAATGTTGTTGTGTTGTTAGATGCAAGAAACCACTTTACAAAATAAAATGCATCATTATTCCAATACCATTATGGCTATTGGCTACATAGCTTATTCAAGCCTGTCTCAAAATACAACACTGCCCCAAAATACAACACTGCCTCTTACAGGAAAAAAAGCTCTTTACCTGACTCGCTTTTCAAAGATGTCTAGAAATGCACACGTTTTGTGCTCTTGTAGGAAACAATCACTCCCCTATTGCTGACTACAAATTATCTATAACTGGGCTAATAACTCAGTAACTAGCAAAGGATATGAACAAATGTGCACGTCACTACATGCAGCTCTAGCTTTGATCTCAAAACAAGCGCATCTACTGACGACCGCTCATGCTGTAAACACAGTCCAGTTCAAAGTAAATGGCACAGATCCATAACTTTATGGTAATGATCAATTTGCATATAGGCCTACTGCAGCTCTGATTGGTTATGGTGCACCGGTCTGTGTAGAGTACGGACCTGAGTCGTACATGTCAATGCAATAGAATCCTACTCCGATGCGTTCAGCCTACAACAAAATCTCTTACATAGTTAGTTTTGCATATTAAGTCTTGCATAGTTCGTTTTGTTTCGGTATGTTGCATTGAAAGTGGCTAGTATTGTGTTGATTCGATCACAATTCCCACAGTAAAGGGAAACATTGATAGTGTTATCAGGGAGAACTTTAGAAAGTTGAGTGAAGTTCAATCTCGTGCTTCTCTGCATGCGCTGATATTTATTCTGTGCCCAGCTTTGAGGAAACATTGGTCGTCAGTACAGTGATCATTGTGACTTCCCAATGAGCAATTGTTTGGAAACACTGTGATAGCCTGTATGTTGGCCTTGTATATGTCTATACAAGTGTGTAGCATATATGAATGAGTGGCGACATTATTGTGGTCCTCTGTAGCTCAGCTGGTAGAGCACGGCGCTTGTAACGCCAAGGTAGTGGGTTCGATCCCCGGGACCACCCATACACAAAAATGTATGCACGCATGACTGTAAGTCGCTTTGGATAAAAGCGTCTGCTAAATGGCATATTATTATTATTATTATTTCTCTCATGGTCTCTAGCCCACAGGATACATGGAGGCTGCCCTGTCCTACAGCACCATAGAGGACCTGCAGCTGCTCTCCTGGGATAACGCCCCCAAATATTGTGTGCAGCTCAGCTTCCCCGGGGGCACCGTCCTCCTGCAGGTATGTCCTGTCCCCCTCCCTCCCTCTTCGTGTAACATTGTGTGCGTGTGCGTGTGCGTGCGTGCTTTCGGTCTGTTACCTGACTGTATGTGTGCCCTAACAGGCGGCCAACAGCTATCTGCGGGACCAGTGGTTTCATTCTCTACAGTGGAAGGTAGGATTACTATGTTGAAGTATTCATTGGTTTGTGTTCACGGGGGTTCAACAAGACTCACAGCACTTTGCATGGGCAGGGCACGTGCCCCAAGGCCTCCGACCTCCCAAGGCTTCCGACCTTTTCTTTTTGTGTAGGGGCCCCACTGGAGGTCGGGGGCTCCCCAGATAGCATATGATAGGAAAATGTGTAGAATTAAAGGAAATTTGATTTAAAATTGCAAAATGTTCTCTCAGCTTCATGGTAAAATGTGTAGAATAGCAGGAAATTATTCTTAAAATGGCAACAATTTCTCTTGGCCTCATGACAATGTGTAGAATAGCATTATAAAACTGCACAAATGTTTTGAAATGCAGTAAGTTACTTTTTATTTATGTATTATTAAATCAACTATAAAAAAAAAATTCTTCTTTGGGGTGGGGGGCCCCCAGGGCACCCTCGGAGGTCGGTGCCCCTGGGCCTCAAATGCGGTCCTCCTGTCCTGCATGCATTTCCCTTTTTGCATTGGTTTGATAAGCCTATCAAGAAACATATTGTGTTCCAAAGGCTTGAATCCTATTGTAGTTCATCTGTATGTGGGCATGCTTGTGCCTCTATTTTCCAACCAGAAAAAGATCTATAAGTACCGTAAGGTTCTGAACAACCCTAGTCGCTGGGAGGTGGTTCTGAAGGAGATCAGATCGCTGGTGGACATGGCCCTGACCTCTCCCCTGCAGGACGAGTCCATTCACCAGGCCCCGCTGCAAATCATCTCCACCCTGCTGGCCGAGGTAGGCCCATCTGCAGGCCTCGCACACACACACACACCTGCTGCTGGGAGCTCAGTTCAAAACACACAGATGCCTGCTGGTTGGCAGAGTCAGAACTGTTAGTCAGTTTGGGAGTGGCTCTGTTCAATTTGTTTGTCTGCTCTCGCTCTCTGATCATACCTGTTTCACTTCTGTTGTCCCCTCTGCCTCCCCAGAACACCAACCTCAGCTCTCAGGACCATGAGAACATCATTGTGGTGAGTTGGAAGCACTAGGCTCTAGAATGCCAGCTTACTGTAACTGTAAATAGCCATGTTTTCTTGTTCATATTATTACGTCAGTGACTGGACAGAAACAGTTTAGGAATTTAGCAATGGCGAAGTTTAGTGAAAGGGTCCTGTTTGACAGGTGAAACCTGGTCAAACTGCTGAGGCCGCAAATGATTTAGCCTATTATTGCAGCCCAGAGGGCGTGTCGAGCAGGTTAGCAATAGGCCCCTGGATAGCAGCTCTGATGATGGACAGCTACACCGTAGCAGTGGTACCCACTGATGTTTGTGTGGATGCTGTCAGATAATGCCCAGTTACTATTGTTACAGTGTAATGGTGTATTCATCTGGATGTGTTTGTGTCCATACCCCCATGGGCCCTGGCCACTAGAGTCATGGGATGATTGCATTATTAAACTGTTGCAGCACTCGAGGTACAGTTAAATCTACACATGTTTCATACGAACAGCTGCTCACCTTATTTACCTGTCTTGGGGCGTATTGAGACCTAAGATAATACAGCCCTAGAGGATAATAGGGACAGCTGTGTACTTGTAGGTTGACTTCTGCAGTAACTCTTGGGAATTACAGGCTAGGATAGTACAGTTTATTGGCCCATGGCTGGTTGCTGGCAAGGGGCCATTGTAAATAGAAGATAGCATGGCTGGGGAAATTGTGAAGTTCGATTGATCAGTCCTGTCTCTGGTATCGCTGTGTGTCCCTAGGCCATCGCTCCTCTCCTGGAAAAGAACCACCCTCCACCAGACCTGTGTGAGTTCTTCTGCAAGGTAAAGATGGGGTCTGAACACTTCACCTTCAACCTGTTGTCAAAATCATAGTGTTAGTGTAACAGAGTTGGATTGGTAATCTCACTCCTCAGCTTGAAATGCCTCCACCCGCCCCATAGAATTGCTAGCATTTCGGTGGCGTAGCTGGCTAAAGGGCCCTACATCCTATGCAAACAGAGCGATAGAGCGTAGTTTGCGTAAAGTGTGTAGCGGCCTTTAGGCGTTGTCAAGAGGGCGGTCTTGTGTGTTTTTGTGAGACAGAGGATCTGAGATCAAGGCCCGGTAGGACTTGAGGAAGGAAGCTATACTTTTAAGCAAGCACAGTGACGTCCCTCACACTAGGGCAATTGTTGGAGCAGAAGATGTAAACGCTTTACAACCATGGGTATCATTAACAGCCCAGTTATAGTTAATCCGGGCCTAGTTAATATAATTATTTTTATTTATTTTAATCACGACGGCTGAGATGGAAACAGGGCGTTTCGGTACAATTGTATAAATGCCAACATATCATTTGTTAGTTCGACATGGTGGGATCTTTTTGTGTCGGTAAAATTAATTATGTGGGAAATGGCGGTGGAAACGCCTTTATGTGCAAATATTGATATAATAACATCATATCGAAATAAAATTGGAGTCACGCGATGACAGGGTGTGTGGTCCTCCCACTACGACTTGGGAAACCATGCAGTTTATTAGGCTATAGATGAATGAACTCCCACCACTGGTGGGAAAATGTGCATATTTTGTTTATGCAGATTTTAGAATATTCACATGAAAATCTGTCACAAATTGGATGGAAACCTAGCTACTGTTAAATGGTGTTTTTGTGTTTGTGCAGCACTGTCGGGAACGTCCGCGGTCGATGGTTGTGATTGAAGTGTTCACCCCTGTGGTCCAGAGAATCCTCAAACACAACATGGTGAGCTGAGTTTTCCATCTTATTTCCTGTTAAGGGTCACGCTCAGTTTGTTTATGTCTGTTTTCTTCTGTGGTCATATATCGGAGTGTGAGTCAAAGCTCACTGTGCTGCCTCTTGTCCTCTCTCTCCCTGTACTTATTTCTCTGCCTCCTCTCCCTGTCTCTGTGTGTGTCAGGACTTTGGGAAATGCCCCAGACTGCGTCTCTTCACTCAGGAGTACATCTTGGCTCTGAATGAGCTCAACGCTGGGATGGAGGTCGTCAAGAAATTCATTCACAGGTGAGTCAGTGACAACGTGTTTTTAGGACTGGGATTTTCTCCACAGACCCAGGAAAAACTTGGGACCTAGTTATTTCGATAGTACCCCCTTATTTATTATTTGTTTTCTCCCCGTTCCATGGAGGGTATTGAGTGCTAATTGTGTGTGTGTGGCTGTGTTTCAGCATGCATGGCCCCACCGGGCAGTGCCCTCACCCCCGCGTCCTGCCCAACCTGGTGGCAGTGTGCCTAGCTGCCATCTACTCCTGCTACGAGGAGTTAATCAACAGGTAAGTGATGTACTGTTACTGTACTGTAGACCCACCACACAGACTAGACTCACTGGCCAAATAAACCTCCCTGGTTAGCGTAGGCTACTCGCCTCTCCTTTTAAACATTTTAAATGAGATGTTGACTTGAGTAATGAGTCATCTAATTGGTTATCATAACATCATCATCCTGAGCCACTGGGTCCTCAGCCCCTGTGAGAGGACATTTGCAAAATTTCCGTGACATTGTCACCCCGGAGAATCATCGCTCGGATACATTACTCTCCTCACTCTGCCTCTAAGTACACATGGGATAATGCCGTTGTAACAGAAACCTACAACCCCAACAGAATGACATGTATTCTTACTATGAACTTCTGAGTGTTGTAGTCTTGAAATGATTATTTAATGTGTGATACAGTGACTCGCTCCATTCCTCTCTTACACAATATTGCCCTCTCTCCATCAATATGTCTCTGTCCTCTCGCCCGCTCTCTCCTCCTCTCTCGCCCTCTCTCTCTTTCTGTCCAGCCGGGACAACTCCCCAAGTCTGAAGGAGATTAGGAACGGCTGCCAGCAACAGAATGAGCGTAAACCCCCCCTGCCCCTCCGCCTGCTCCGCCCAGAGCCCCCCACACCTCCGTCAACGGCCCTGCTGCCCCTCTCCCCTCCCCCCTCAGCTCCCCTCTCCCCTCCCCCCACGCTGCCCCTCTCTCCCCCGCCCTCCATCGTCAACTCCAGTGAGATCCTGGTGGAGTTGGAACGCAACAACAACACTGCCAACGCCAGGAGGAAGGGCCCAGCGGGAAGCGACAGTGAGCCCAACCTGATCGACTGTCTGTTGGTCAGCCCCGCCCTCAACGCCCTGTCAATCCAGCTGCCTGCCCAGGCTGACCGCGTGCTGGGCTGCTTCGCACTCATCCTCCAAATGCTGTGAGTTACGACTACTGTTACTTAGGGCTGTGACGATACCAGTATTGCAATAGTTTTTCCATGGCAAAAATGAAAACACAAAGCAGAAAACTCTTTGGTCCTTTAAAAACAATAAATAAATAAATGTGACTGTGGGTGACAACATCATGATTTTTGTTTCCAACATTAGGGCTGTTTTCCTAAATAAGTGAAATCTGCTTGGTGTTTTGTTTCCTTGCCTGATACTAACGAGTATCGTCCCGGCCCTGCTGTTACTGGAACACCTCCGCTTACTGCCTTACAGTGTCTAAGGGGGCTTTCACACCAAGTTTGGTTGAAGCAGGGTTTTTTCCCTACATTTGGTATGTTTGGACAGAATACAATCTGCACTCGGATGACAACGCACTGTGGTTTGCTCAAAAAGGGTGGTCTTGGTCCAATTCCATTCATACCGTGGTGCAGTTCGCTGCAGGTGAAAACACATTCTGGACTAAACACAGGAAAAGAACCAGAGGTGTGCAGTATTATTGGTTGTTTGACTGCAAGCATTTGATTAAATGCACGCAATATCATAACTTGATATCTCTGAAACGTGTTGTAAGTAGCAGTGTGCATTTATGAGCGCATCTGATGCAGAGTCATGTCTCCTCTGTTGGCTGCATGTCACAGTTTCCTCACGCATGTTACAAAGTGGAAGTAATATGAATGTTGGGACCAATGTTCCCTCTAAGCTGCGAGCGGGCATGCAGCTCCCCCAGGACTGCCACACAGAAGAAGTATCAGCCCGCGCAGAGAAGCACGAGATTTAACTTCTCATCTTTCCCCTTTAGTTAACACTATCAACGTTTCCCTCTACTTTGTGAATTGTGATCGAATCAACTCAATATTAGCCACTTTCAATGCAACATATCGAAACAAAACGAACTATGCAAGAGATTTTCTTGTAGGCAGAGAACATTGGAGTAGGATTCTATTGCATTGACAGGCACTAATCAGGCCCATACTCTACACAGACCGGTGTGCCATAACCAATCAGAGCTGCAGTACCCTATATGCAAATAGACCATTGCCATATATGGATCTGTGCCGTTCACTTTGAACTGGACTGTGTTTACAGCATGAGCGGTCGCGAGTAAATGCGCTTGTTTTGAGATCAAAGCAAGAGTTGCATGTAGCCAGGTGTGTACATTTGTTCATATTCTTTCCTAGTAAGTGAGTTATTAGCCCAGTTCTAGTTAGCAATGGGGGAGTGGTTGCTTCCTACAAGAGCACAAAACGTGTGCATCTTTGAAAAGCAAGTCAGGTATAGAGATTTTTTTCTGTCTTAACGGGGCATTGTTGTATTTTGAGACAGGCTTGAATAAGCTAAATAGCCAATAGGCAGAGGGTAGCATAATGTGTCTGATTCTCTGTAATAATGGTATGGAGATAATTCATTTTATTTTGTAAAGTGGTTTCTTGCATCAAACAACACTACATTTTCAGTCACCTCCTTGTCTGAAGGACAAGTGGATAAACAGGTTGTCAATCCCTACATGGTTTTTTTCAAAAGCCTCATGGAATGATAGAACAGCTATTTCCATGTTAAAATGTTATGGGATGCATTTTCTCCATTTTCTTTTATGGTAGGCCATTCTGATAGGCCTACATTATGATCATATAGCCACAGTAGCCTACTTGACCACTGTTATAACTGTAACTTAAAGCGGGTACAGCCTCAGTCTTAACAGTAAACGCTCGCCAGAAGTTGCACTGAATTTTCACAATGTTCAAGTTTGCGCTCAGCAGACTTGAAATTTGCTCAGTGCCTAATTGTTTTTGAGGGAACATTGGTTGGGACACACAAGTGATGCTCCATGATGATCATAGATGGCTTTAACGTGAGCATTTTTGTCCAATAAACCAATGACTTGCATGAATGGTTTTGTATATGCATTTTAGTTCGTTTGACATTTGGCAATGTGAAACAATCGGGACCAAATGGAAAAAGTACAATGTAACAAATAATCAAACTCTGATTCGAACTATACCAAACCAAGTTTTTTTTGCCTGTCAGTGTGCCTGAATTTTATAGAACATTTTAGTGGTCCTCATCTTGGCGGGGTAGACACATTTCTGCATTTTTAAGCCATTTTCCTGCAATCCTACACATTTCTCCACGGAGCTGAGACATTTTTGCTGATTTCCTGCAACTCTATGTACAGTGCCTTCAGAAAGTATTCATACCCCTTGACTTTTTCCACATTTTGTTATATTACAGCCTGAATTCAAAATGGATTAAATATATATATTAGTTCTCACCCATCTACACACAATATCCCATTATGACAAAGTGAAAACATGTTTTTAGACATTTTTGCTAAATGTATTGAAAATGAAATACAGAAATATGTCAGTTACATAAGTATTCAAACTCCTGAGTCAAAACCTTGTAGAAGCACCTCTGCCAGCGATTTCAGCTGTGAGTCTTTCTGGGTAATTCTCTAAGAGATTTCCACACATGGATTGTGCAACATTTGCCCATTATTCATTTCAAAATTCTTCAAGCTCTGTCAAATTGGTTTTTGATAATAATAATAATAATAATAATAATAATAATAATATGCCATTTAGCAGACGCTTTTATCCAAAGCGACTTACAGTCATGCGTGCATACATTTTTGTGTATGGGTGGTCCCGGGGTTCGAACCCACTACCTTGGCGTTACAAGCGCCGTGCTCTACCAGCTGAGCTACAGAGGACCATGATCATTGATCATTGCTAGACAACCATTTTCAGGTCTTGCTGTAGATTTAAAGTAGATTTAGTAGTCCTTAACGATTACAAGAATACCCATAGCATGATGCAGCCACCACAATGCTTGGAAAATATGGTAAGTGGTAGTAATGCGTTTTATTGGATTTGCCACAAATATAACACTTTGTATTTAGGACAAGAAGTGAATTTCTTTGCCACATTTTTTGCAGTATTACTTTAGTGCCTTGTTGCAAACAGGATGCATGTTTTGGAATATTTTTCTGTACAGGCAATTAGGTTAGTATTGCGGAGTAACTACAATGTTGTTGATCCATCCTCAGTTTTCTCCTATCACAGCCATTAAACTCTGTAACTGTTTTAAAGTCACCATTGGCGTCTCTGGCAACTGAGTTATGAATGGCACCTGTATCTTTGTAGTGACTGGGTGTATTGATACACCATCCAAAGTGTAATGAATAACTTCACCATGCTCAAAGGGATATTCAATGTATTTTTTTAATTAAATATTTTACCGATCTACCAACAGGTGCCCTTCTTTGCGAGGCATTGGAAAACCTCCCTGGTCTTTGTGGTTTAATCTGTGTTTGAAATTCACTGCTCGACTGAGGGACCTTACAGATAATTGTATGTGTGGGGTACAGAGATGAGGTAGTCAATCAAAAATCATGTTAAACACTATTATTGCACACATAGTTAATCCATGCAATTTAGTATGTGACTTGTTAAGTACATTTCTACTCCTGAACTTATTTAGGCTTGGCATAACAAAGTGGTTGAATACTTATTGATTCAAGACAGTTCAGCTTTTCATATTTAATGAATTTGTAAAAAGTTTGAAAAACCTAATTCCACTTTGACTTTATGGGGTATTGTGTGTATGCCAGTGACAATTAATCTAAATTTAATCAATTTTAAATTCAGGCTCTAACACAACAACATTTTGAAAAAGTAGAGGGTTGTGAATACTTTCTGAAGGCACTGTATTTTTCTATGGCTAATACTGTGTTCTTTTGCTCAGACATAATAACAAAATCAATACTGCTAAATTAATTGTTTTTGGAATGTTATATTCTCCCTGACTGTCTAGCTTTCATTTCGGTGATTGTTAGTTCTCAAAGATTATATTATTACAAAATACACTGAGCGTCAATTCATCAGGACATGGACTCTACAAGGTGTCGAAAGCATTACACAGGGATGCTGGTATGAATTTGTGCGTCTAACTTTCTCACTCATCATTAAACACAATACATTCAGGATTATCTGTCATCATGGTAGCATCCACATTCATGTAGAAGGGTTTAGAAGCATGTTCTATTCTTATTTACAAAAAAGGTGACGCCAAAACGACAATACATTATTTACCGTTCATTCCTATTGGGCACAAAATAATCTGAAACACAACCAAATGCATCCAACCAATTTGTAGAATAACAAGCTTGACATAGTCATTGCTATGAATATGGGACCAAATACTTAACGTTTTACTGCTTTAATACACATTACATTTTAGCAGACGCTCTGGACTTACAGTTAGTGAGTGCATACATTATTTTTTTTTTTTTTTCATACTGGCCCCCCGTGGGAATCGAACCCACAACCCTGGCGTTGCAAACGCCATGCTCTACCAACTGAGCTACATCCCTGCCGGCCATTCCCTCCCCTACCCTGGACGACGCTGGGCCAATTGTGCGCCGCTCCATAGGTCTCCCGGTCGCGGCTGGCTACGACAGAGCCTGGATTCGAACCAGGATCTCTAGTGGCACAGTTAACACTGCGATGCAGTGCCTTAGACCACTGCGCCACTCGGTTTAGAATAACAAGCTTGACATAGTCATTGCGTGCTATGAATATGGGACCAAATACTTAACGTTTTACTGCTTTAATACACACAGTGAATTTGTCCCAATACTTTTGCTCCCCTAAAATGGGGGGACTATGTACAAAAAGTGTTGTAATTCCTAAACAGTTCACCCGATATGGATGAAAATACACTCAAAGTTAAAACTGACAGTTTGCACTTTAACCTCATAGTAATTGTTTGATTTCAAATCCAAAGTTTTGAAGTATAGAGCCAAAAAAATAGGAAACGCTTCCCTGTCCCAATAATTACAGAGGGCACTGTATATATTTTTTATTTATATTTTCCACTGTTTTGGACTTATGTGGCCTGAAAAAACCCAAAAAGGCCCCCGTCCAAGGATTTCAATGGCAGAAAAATCCCTGCAAACTTTTGTGGAAACGCCCTAAGTGTAAACAAGGATTAATGTGTGGTGCTATCTGTGTGGGCTGTGCTGAGCAGCTGGACACAGCTGCTGCCTCTGTCCTACTGGGGAATAATTCAAAAGGAGGGAGTGCTGCTTAGTGTGTCTCTCTGAATGGATGGATGACATGGGTGTGACGCTGTGGAGCAAGATGTTATATTATGTGTGTGGGAATAGGGGGAATGAACTAAATATTGTGTCTGTCTGTAACAATGACACTATTACTTAACAGACAGGAATCGGATCCTCTCCTCGTAACGTTGAATTAATGGTTGTTTGGCGTCATAGGACTATGCTCAGGTTACCTCTTGTGATTCCCTGTGTGACCAGCCCTCTGCTCTCATTCTGTATACCCCTTTCTGTTGTGTACCTCTTTCTATCATTCACTTTCTCTTTCTCTCTCCAACCATTCAGGTCTGACTACGATGACTGGAGACCAGCCCTGGCTAGCCTGCTGCAGCCCATCCCCTTCCCCAAAGAGTAAGTATACTGCGCTTAAATATTAAAGCATTAGACCTCTCACTAAAAGCTTCAGTCATACAAAAGCTATACTTAAATCCAAACTGGTTCTCTAGCAGGTTAGTAAGAATGGCTCACCCCGTGTTCAAGAATGGCCTTTTTCCCTTTATACAACCTCTCACTTTCAGTTATTTGAAAATGAAATAATCTCCAAACTATCACTATTTTTACAACAAGCCATAGAAAGTTGGTTGCAATTTCAGTTTAACCAGAAAGATAACAAATATTATGGTTAAACTCAAATATACTAATTAATTGTTTTTTTTAAAAGGAAGAAATGTTTAAATACGGTTTAATCTTTGGAAATGTGATCATAAATAGGACTGGTGGAGTTATATAACGCATGCAGCTAGCAAAATAATATGGAAACGTCTGCTCTATCCAAAATTACAACCAACTGATTGCAGCATTACTGCAAAAATGGAAGAGGCAAGTGGAAGGGGAGAAAGTAAGGAACTTGTCTGTCGGCCCTGCATTAAAGACCAAAATTGGTTAAAGACAATTGTGATAAATAAACAAGTATACCAGTTTCATTTAAGGACCAAAAAACGACAGCTGTGCCATACAGATTGCAAAATAGTTGAGAAGAGATTTGCAATGTACCGACTCCACATGGTTTATGAACTGATACCCAAAACGACACCGGATTCAATATCACATTCCAAAATCTTGGGCATTAATATGGAGTTGGTTCCCCTTTTTGCTGCTATAACAGCCTCCACTCTTCTGGGAAGGCTTTCCACTAGATGTTGGAACATTGCTGCGGGGACTTGCTTCCATTCAGACACAAGCATTAGTGAGGTTGGGTACTGATGTTGGGTGATTAGGCCTGGCTCGCAGTCAGCGTTGCAATTAATCCCAAAGGTGTTTGATGGGGTTGAGCTCATTTCATGCAAGGAATGTTTGGGAAGTTGATGCTCATTTACTGCATTTCTACACAATTTAAAAACAAAAAATGCCTTTTGGAGAACAGTAAACACAAACAAAAATATCCCCAGCCATTCATTTAAAACTGCAATATTTGGTTTAAAGGTCTGTGGAACGGCATATACAGTGTCAACTACTTAACCTCATCATAAATTAACACATTACTTGTGGAACGGCGCATACAGTGCAACGTGAAATCGAAGCATAATAAACGCTATCAAGTCACTACAAGGCCAACTTCAGATGCTGCCATCAATATGGATGGTCCTCTGTAGCTCAGCTGGTAGAGCACGGCGCTTGTAACGCTAAGGTAGTGGGTTCGATCCCCGGGACCACCCATACACAAAAAAAAATAATGTATGCACGCATGACTGTAAGTCGCTTTGGATAAAAGCGTCTGCTAAATGGCATATTATTATATTATTAATAGGCGGCGCGTGAGTTTCAAGTTTGGGGAAGCTATAAAATGTGCACCTTTTATAATAAAGGATTACATGCATCTATCATCGCATTTGCAGACTAATGTAAGATAGGCAGGCTACTATTCCTAATGTGATGAGTAGATTGCATTGACATAATTTAGGCTAATAATATAACTCAATATTAGCAAAACAGACAGTTCTGAAGAACAATGCATGCCTGAGTGCGAAGTGACATAGAGTAGGCCTAATCAGAGATGTTTTCTTCTCCTTTCTTTGAACGGGACAAATGTGGCCTTTTTATAAACACATTTCATGTAATTCTACTACACTTTAAATGACTGGAGACAATAAGCAACATATTTTTTAATACGACACAAATTAGTAGCCTACTCTGCTGACACTGACAAACAGATCAGTAAAAACGACCTCGTCTTGAATTGAACCATCTAATCTAGGCCTACGAAAAGGGGAGACACAAATTATATAATTTGACGTCCATCTACCCTGGAGGAGGAAATTATTGTCCCCCCAATTTTTTTTTTTACAGTGATACTGATACAATGATAGACAGTTTGTGTGCACTCACCGGGAATATCGATATGGCCGATGCTCTCCGCTGGTTCCAATAAGATAGGCTACTGTTCGCTTAATTGGGAGTGGAGAATTTTGATAACTAGAGACAGATTAGTATTTTTGTCTTCACTTTTCAGCAATAGCCATTTGCTTTCTAAACGGTTTTTCCTACGATTTTATTTTGAAATATTGTGATAGGCCTATTTAACTGCTTTCCATTGACCGCTGCAACTCAGCAATCAGCTATTTGGTAGGCTATTTGGTAGGCTATTTGGTAGGCTATTTGCTGTGCGCTGCCCAAATTATGCACTTAAAAATAATCCACAGCTCATTTTTAAAACATGCTAATGATCTTCTGTGGCCAAATCATGCTCTCTGGTGTAGTGTGTATATATACATTTCTGTATAGGCACAAGTAATTATATATCCAATTTTATTTACTTTAAGGGAAGCTTATCTTTCCCTAGCCTATTGGACACGCCGCCTATGCCGACATCAATGTGAAAGTAACCAGTGAATAAAACAGCTGGCCGTGAGGCTTACAAGGCCTAGTTCAAATGCCAACATTAAATTCAAAGCAATCGGCTCACTGCCTTACCGGCAGACCGGCAAAGCAAAACTGTCTGGCAGTCTCTGCTCTCTACTTTCTTAAAGTGAGAGAAAAGCATGCAGGCTGGCAGCTTCTCTGAGCGACGCTCCGCATGGTCCTAAAGGCATCAAACCGATATGCTAAACTGCTATTGCATTTTAATCGTGATTGGAATGATTTTAGTCAAATTTTTTATAGCCTACTTTTACATTTTTGGTCCTGAATTGTACAACAAAGCTTATTTATATATTTTATATATTTTATAATTATATACAGTATATATTGTGAATCGCCCATATGTTCACCCTCACCCTCGGCTGGGACCGTGGGTGAGGGCCTCTCTCAGAGGTGTAGGATCCTGGGAGTGGTGTTGACGTGGGTGCGCTGCTGAGGGGCCCTGCTGGGGGATGGGGTGGGCTCCGGGGTTGCTGCTGTAATTGGCACCTCAGCCCGGGCCCTCATTACCAGTCACCTAAAGAGGGCTGTTGTTGTCACAGCCGGGAGATCCACCTGCTGCTCACCTGCGCACCAGAGTCTAATCTAAACGTTCAGGCGTCATTAGAAAGGGCAAAAACACTCCGACACAACTCCCAGAATGAATGAGTCAGACAGCAAACACCCACACACACCCTCAGAGCTTCACATGTACATGTATTTGTGTGTTTTTCAGATACGTTCAAACCAACAAAAAAACAGGCTGTATTTCCTTTGCAATCCAGCTGCTATCTGTTCAACACCTTACTGCATGTTTGAGTGTAAACATGGTAGAAGTATTTAAATTGGTTATTTTCCATTTTATCATAATGAGTGTATTACATGTTTTAATGTTTATTCTTACCTCTCGCGCCTCTTTAGGGCCCTTGCACATGCCAAATTCACAAAGTAAGTATCTACAGCCATGACGTTTAGTTAATGAATGTTACATTTCAGTTACCATCCAGATGAATCTGTAAGGAAAGCTTGAGGATTGTGCCTGACCTGTCTGTTTTGTTTGAACAGAGAGCTGAAATATGTTATTCAGAGGTTTGCAGAAGACCCCAGACAGGAGGTGAGTGTGGCTCTGACTATTCATCACTGTTTCACCCTAGTTCAGTGCTAGGTTGGTTTGTGTAGTACTCATGGTTGTGTGCTTGTTGCAGGTCCACTCCTGTCTGCTCAGTGTGCGCTCGGGAAAGGATGGTTGGTTCCAGCTCTACAGTCCAGGGGGTGTGGCCTGTGATGATGATGGGGAGCTCTTTGCCAGCATGGTGAGTGATTGGTTTTCTTACCCTAATAATCCTAACCCTCATACCACCTTCTGTTCTAATTGGCTGGACTTGACCTTTGACTCTCTCCTCCAGGTCCACATCCTTATGGGTTCCTGCTACAAAACTAAGAAGTTCCTTCTGTCCCTGGCTGAAAACAAGCTCGGACCCTGCATGCTCCTGGCTCTGCGTGGGAACCAGACCATGGTTGAGGTGTGTGTGCACCCGTAGCACAGAGCTGACCTGTTTTTATTAGTGTGTTTGTGTGTGGCAGAGAGGTGTAAGTGTACAGGAAGCAGAAGTGACCCAAGTGTGTGTGTTTCAGATCCTGTGCCTGATGCTGGAGTACAACATCATCGAGAACAAGGACACCCAGCTGCAGATCATCTCCACCCTGGAAAGCACTCCGGTGGGCCTTCACATGTACGAGCAGCTGTGTGACAGGCAGAGGGAGCTCAAAGAGCTGGTGAGTTACTACTGTTAACCAACAAAGGCACAAACACCACACGCTCAACCTTACACTGCGTTCACAATTATACTGCAATGTCTCTGCAAAATACACTAGATATCTGGGTTATCAGCTGTAGTATCTGCTCAGTTAAAACTGTTACTACTCTACACTGTCGACACAACTAGAGTTATCTATTCATTCTTCTGTGTTACCTAATCTTTCTCTGTTGTTACTTCATGCAAATGTAACCCTTTATCTAATTAAGAGACCTCATAGATTTCATCGGTGGCACATTGTTCACAGATACCACCTGCTGTCTGAATGAGGAACTGCAATGCCTGCTGTAATCAGTCAACATTTTTGTTTCCCTTTCTCCCTCAGCAAAGAAAAGGAGGCCCCACCCGACTCACTCTGCCCTCCAAGTCTACGGTGAGATTGGCTTTTATTATGCTACTCCAATTCCCATAAAGGTCCTTTGTTTTTCTTTCATACGAACATATGATTTAAAAAAATCTCAACAAAATGTTCACATTTGGTAGGATCTTTTTTCTTTTTTTCTCCATGTCTCTCCCTGACCCTCCATCTCAATTAAACTCAAACAGCTTAATGATGTCTCTTGCTGCCTCTGTACCCGACCATGTCGCTCTGTCTCTCTGTAGGATGCAGACCTTGCCAGGCTGCTGAGCTCTGGCTCCTTTGGGAACCTGGAGAACCTGAGTCTTGCCTTCACCAACGTCACCAGTGCCTGTGCTGAACAGCTCATCAAGCTGCCCTCTCTCAAACAGCTCAACCTGTGGTCCACCCAGGTCAGAACACACACTCACACACGCAAGAACTCACACACACGTACACTGAACAAAAATGTAAACTCAACATGCAACAATTTCAAAGATTTTACTGAGTTACAATTCATATAAGGAAATCAGTCAATTGAAATAAAAACATTAGGTCCTAATCTATGGATTTCACATGACTGGGAATACAGATATGCATCTGTTGGTCACAGACACCTTAATAAAAAAAAGAGTAGGGGCGTGGATCAGAAAATCAGTCAGTCAGTATCTGGTGTGACCATTTGACTTATACAGTGCGACACATCTCCTTCGCATAGGGTTGATCAGGCTGTTGATTGTGGCCTGTAGAATATTGTCCCACTTTTCCAGCATGCCTGTGGCCATCGAATGTGAGTATTTGCCCACTGAAGTCCCACGGGGGGCCAGTATGAAACATTTATGCACTCACTAATTGTAAGTCGCTCTGGATAAGAGCGTCTGCTAAATCACTAAAATGTCAACAACAACAAAAATCGGTTACAATGCCGAACTGCAGTCAGTGAGGATGACGAGCACGCAGATGATCTTCCCTGAGATGGTTTCTGACAGTTTGTGCAGACATTTTTCGGTTGTGCAAACCCAGTTTTATCAGCTGTCAGGATGGCTAGTCTCAGACGAGGTCTTGGGCTGGCGTGGTTACACGTGGTCTGCGGTTGTGAGGCTGGTTGGACGTGCTGCTAAATTCTCGAAAACGATGTGGCTTATGGTAGAGAAATGAACATTACGTTCTTTGGAAAAAGCTCTGGTGGACATTCCTGCAGTCAGCATGCTAATTGCACGCTCCCTCAAAACTTGAGACATCTGTGGCATTGTATGTGTAAGTATAACGGTGTGAAAACTGCACATTTTAGAGTGGCCTTTTATTGTCCCCAGCACAAGGTGCACCTGTGTAATGATTATGCTGTTTAATCAGCTTCTTGATATGCCACACCTGTCAGGTGGATGGATTAACTTGGCAAAGGAGAAATGCTCACTAACAGGGATGTCATTCTTTTTTAATAAGCTTTTTGTGCATATGGAACATTTCTGGGATCTTTTATTTCAGCTCATGAAACCAACACTTTACATGTTGCGTTTATATTTATGTTCAGTTTATATTTTAGTCATTTAGCAGACGCTCTTATCCAGAGCAATTAGGGTTATGTGCCTTGCTCAAGGACACATCGACAGATTTTTCACCTTGTCTGCTCAGGGATTCAAACCAGTGACCTTTCAGTTACTGGCCCAATGCTCTAACCACTAGGCTACCTGCCACCCTACGCACACACTTGTTTTTATTTGAATAAGTAATACTCTGCATGACTTTGAAAGACATCCTTTCTTCCTGTTATTGTCTTTCCTTCAGTTTGGAGATGCAGGACTGCGGTTGCTGTCTGAACATTTGGCGTGTTTGCAGGTGTTGAATCTGTGTGAGACACCCGTGACCGATGCTGGCCTGCTGTCCCTCAGCTGTAAGAACTCATCTCAATCATTTTACTATATGCTACTCACATACCGTATACATTTACATTTTAGTCATTTAGCAGACGCTCTTATCCAGAGCGACTTACAGTTAGAGAGTGCATACATTTTCATACTGGCCCCCCGTGGGAATCGAACCCACAACCCTGGCGTTGCAAGCGTCATGCTCTACCAACTGAGCTACACAGGGCTCAATTCTGACCTGCCACACAACGTCATGCATTCAGTATAGAACAGGCTTCCCACACAATCTCCTAGCTCTATCTATATACACTGAGTGTACAAAACATTAGGAACACCTACTCTTCACATGACATAAACTGACCAGGTGAAAGCTATGATCCCTTATTGATGTCAACTGTTAAATCCACTTCAGTGTAGATGAAGGGGAGGAGACAGGTTAATGAAGGATTTTTTAGCCTTGAGACAATTGAGAATGTGTGCCATTCAGAGGGTGAATGGGCAAGACAAAAGATTGAAGTGCCTTTGAACGGGGTATGGTAGTAGGTACCAGGCACCGCTTTTTGTCAAGAACTGTAACACTGCTGGGTTTTTCACGCTCAGCAGTTTCCCGTGTGTATCAAGAATGGTCCACCACCCACAGGACATCCACCCAACTTGACACAACTGTGGGAAGCATTGGAGTCAACATGGAACAGTATCCCTGTGGAACACTTTCTACACCTTGTAGAGTCCATGCCCCAACGAATTGAGGCTGTTCTGAGGGCAAAAGGGGGGTGCAACTCAATATTAGGAAGCTGCTCCTAATGTTTTGTACACTCAGTGTATATTCATGTATGTACAGTGACATATTTATGCGTGTCTCTTCCAGCCATGAAGAGCCTGTGTAGTTTGAACATGAACAGCACCAAGCTCACAGCAGACACATACGATGACTTAAAGGTAAGATTAACCTTCATACCCTCTCTGTTGACAAGAACATGTTAGTATATCAACAAATATCACATTTGTTTTGGTCTCTTATCTTCTCTCTCTCCCTGTCAGGCCAAACTCCCCAATCTGAAGGAGGTGGACGTCCGCTACACCGAGGCCTGGTGAACACATCGTGTATGACATCACTAGAACACCAACTCCCACATCATCCAAACATGAGGATTACCTGATATCATCAGAACACATAGCCTATCTTACATCAACAATAAGAGGATCCTCTCCCATCTCTAGATGAGGACCCTTTTATCTGGAGATGACATCAAAACGTCACGACCTCTCTAGTAACAAGTCAATGGAGAATTACTATATTTCTAGTGACATCATCAAAATACAAGGACCTGTTCTTTCTTGTGAGATCAACATATAAGGACCTCCTTTTTAGCGTCATCATCAAAATGCAAGGACCCACTTTCTTGTGACATAAGGGACCCTCTCTCGCTCTCTTTCTCTCTCATGTGTGGTTGCTCACTCAGTCCCTGTCCACATCCTATTTGCCCTCAATAGGCTCGTCATAGATTTCCTCTGTATTGTGTCATATGTACACAGAACAAAGGAAACAAATTGTGGATCTCCCCCTTTCTCCCCTCTCCCGCTCTCTCTGAGGACCTTTGCGTTAAAATTACCTCTCTTCTCTCCATTTACTGGGAGCTATTCTACCCTTGTCTGATGAAGGCTGGAAAACCAGGTCACATTCCAGTACACTTTTTTGATATTGCCTCTAGTCAATCCAAATGTAGCTTTAAAAGACTATTCAATTGTCATTTTGGTCTTGTTGTTTTGTTTGGGTACTTTCAGGTTCAGAGTCGAGCCTTTCCAGTCCTTCATTGGGAATGAGGTGCTACCTCAAACAAAAGAAAAGTTGCAAGACTGTGCCTAATTCCTTGTATGACACGTTCACTCTCAATCAATTTTTATCAACTTGAATGAACATATTTTTCCAGACATGTTTATATATATATTGTGTGTGTGTGTGTATGTATGTATGTGTATGTGTGTGTGTGTGTATATATATATACACACACACACACTACCGTTCAAAAGTTTGGGGTCACTTAGAAATGTCCTTGTTTTCCATGAAAACATACATGAAATGAGTTTGAATAGGAAATATAGCAAAATGCATAGGAAATGTAGTCATTGACAAGGTTAGAAATAATGATTTTTTTAATTGAAATAATAATTGTGTCCTTCAAACTTTGCTTTCGTCAAAGAATCCTCCATTTGCAGCAATTACAGCCTTGCAGACCTTTGGCATTCTAGTTCTCAATTTGTTGAGGTCATCTGAAGAGATTTCACCCCATGCTTCCTGACGCACCTCCCACAAGTTGGATTGGCTTGATGTGCACTTCTTACAGTCAAGCTGCTCCCACAACAGCTCAATAGGGTTGAGATCCGGTGACTGTGCTGGCCACTCCATTATAGACAGAATACCAGCTGACTGCTTCTTCCCTAAATAGTTCTTGCATAGTTTGGAGCTGTGCTTTGGGCCATTGTCCTGTTGTAGGAGGAAATTGGCTCCAATCATGCGCCGTCCACAGGGTATGGTATGGCGTTGCAAAATGGAGTGATAGCCTTCCTTCTTCAAGATCCCTTTTACCCTGTACAAATCTCCCACCACCAAAGCACCCCCAGACCATCACATTGCCTCCACCATGCTTGACAGATGGCATCAAGCACTCCTCCAGCATCTTTTCATTTGGTCTGCGTCTCACAAATGCTCTTCTTTGTGATCCGAACACCTCAAACTTCGATTTGTCTGTCAATAACACATTTTTCCAGTCTTCCTCTGTCCAGTGTCTGTGTTCTTTTGCCCATCTTAACCTTTTCTTTTTATTGGCCAGTCTGAGATATGGCTTTTTCTTTGCAACTCTGCCTAGAAGGTCAGCATCCCGGAGTCACCTCTTCACTGTTGACGTTGAGACTGGTGTTTTGCAGATACTATTTAATAAAGCTGCCAGTTGAGGACCTGTGAGGCGTCTGTTTCTCAAACTAGACACTCTAATGTATTTGTCCTCTTGCTCAGTTGTACTCCGGGGCCTCCCACTCCTCTTTCTATTCTGGTTAGAGACAGTTTGCGCTGTTCTGTGACGGGAGTAGTACACAGCGTTGTACGAGATCTTCAGTTTCTTGGCAATTTCTCGCATGGAATAGCCTTCATTTCTCAGAACAAGAATAGACTGACAAGTTTCAGAATAAAGTTATTTGTTTCTGGCCATTTTGAGCCTGTAATCGAACCCACAATTGCTGATGCTCCAGATACTCAACTAGTCTCAAGAAGGCCAGTTTTATTGCTTCTTTAGTCAGCACAACAGTTTTCAGCTGTGCTAACATAATTGCAAAAGGGTTTTCTAATGATCAATTAGCCATTGGAACACAGGACTGATGGTTGCTGATAATGGGTCTCTGTACGCCTATATAGATATTCCATAAAAAATCAGCCATTTCCAGCTACAATAGCCATTTACAACATTAACAATGTCTACACTGTATTTCTGATCAATTTGATGCTTTTTAATGGACAAAAAATTGCTTTTCTTTCGAAAACAAGGACATTTCTAAGTGACCCCAAACTTTTGAACGGTAGTGTGTTTGTGTGTGTGTGTGTGTATATATATATATATATATATATATATATATATTCCCTGTTGACATTTTAAAAGCAGACATTTCAGGAGCTCTGCTCTGCAGTTGCAACACCATTCAAAGGAAAATATGTTTCCTTTTAATTTGTGTTTTCAATGTACATAACTCCCATATTTAATAGAATGGTTGTGCAGTAGGTGGTCTGGGACTGCCTTGTATTTATGATTTCTCCCTTCATATCCCTGTTTTTCTGCCTCCCCTTTATTTAGTCATGTACACTTTCTTCACTTTCCAGGGAACAAGCATACTTTAGTTGACTTTCGTAACAGAAACAAATCACCCAAGATGATGCATAACATTCTTATCCATAATCCATGCTGTGGCTTCAACAGAAGTTCTATGTGCACCTTGCATCAACCTCTCAATGTTGCTTTTTGGTATGATGGGGCATGTTTTCATAGAGATGAATATGGGACACCTTTTGCTAGCGGGTGTAGATATACAGGCCATGGTCATCCTTAATGGGATAGGGTTCTTTTGTCAATGTCAGGAGTGAAGAGGCTCTATAGAGGCAACAGCATGGTGTGTAGATGACCCTGATAAAAAGGGGCACATTATTTGCCCAAAGTCTCTAGAATAAGATTTTTATACTTGTTTTGCCATACTGTACTTCAAAACAGAAACTATTGCATCAAACATCAGTACTGTCTGAAACGAACGTGCTAATCATTCATTCACAGAACCACATTTCTCTTTACTCCCCATCAAGCATGGAGAGAGGGCACTGTTTGGAGTATGCTCACCCATGAAAGTAGTGCATGTATCTGGGTTAAAATGTGTTGCATTCATCAATCTTTATTTGAAATCCTAAGAACACTTTCTGTTTACATGGGCATACTGTGAACAAGTACATTTTTTAAACCACCTGTTTTGAATTGATTTTCCGTATTGTTACCAAGGAATGTTATATTGCAGCATTCAGGTATGTGGTAACTTTGCCCACACAAACTGCAGAACAGTGTTGTCCTCTGTGTCGCTTCTCTTCTGCTGTAGGTGGCTTTGATCAATCTGTCCCTTCTCTGTGCCCTTTCAGGGCGTATTTTACACAATCAGATCGTTATTCTGACTGCCCTACTCTGGTTCCATCCACTTCTTGTTTTTTCCAGAATGCTCAAGAATTCTGTTCAGTTTTGGCAGAACTTACAGAACACAGAGTTGGACACCGTCCAATAAGAGTTCAATGCTATGTTTATTTTGAGTGCCGTTACGGTTACTGGCACTACATTTCATTGTGTATGGCCATCTTTGGTCTTGCTTAAGACCTCATGCTGTCACATCCTTTATAATGTATATATATACATGTGTATATAATTTTCTGTCTGTCTCCCTCCCTCCCCTCTGTGTTTCTCTTAGTCTCCTTGTTAGGGAGGCTGTCATTGCCTTCATCTTCAGGACATGTGCGTGTGGTCATTAACTTTATATTTTCACACAAAGTGCACTGTAATCTGTCATTATGTTTTCATGGTTAATATCTTTTAATGATTTGTTTATGTCAACTGTTTATTTGATTTGATCACTTTAATCAAGAGTTTGTCGCCTGACTTCTTTTTCCGCCTGACTTTTTTTTGGCATGTACATGTTGCATCAGCTGATGTTTTAATTTTGTAACTTTATTTTAAAGATTTGAATATGAAAAGGGTCAGATCACTAGCTCTGAAGTCGCCCTACACTCTTTGTCCATGGGTTACCACGATGTTCTGATGATAAGCAGTACATACATGTCATAGACCAGCGATTGAATCACCTTTGTGTGTGATTACAGACCTTTTTATTGCTGGAACACATTAGCTTGTGCAAAAAATACTGTGTAATGATATGAACATAGTATGTATGTATGTACAGTGGGGAGAACAAGTATTTGATACACTGCCGATTTTGCAGGTTTTCCTACTTACAAAGCATGTAGAGGTCTGTAATTTTTATATAGGGACACTTCAACTGTGAGAACGGAATCTAAAACAAAAATCCAGAAAATCACATTGTATGATTTTTAAGTAATTAATTTGCATTTTATGCATGACATAAGTATTTGATACATCAGAAAAGCAGAACTTAAAATTTGGTACAAAAAACCTTTGTTTGCAATTACAGAGATCATACGTTTCCTGTAGGTCTTGACCAGGTTTGCACACACTGCAGCAGGGATTTTGGCCCACTCCTCCATACAGACCTTCTCCAAATCCTTCAGGTTTCGGGGCTGTCGCTGGGCAATACGGACTTTCAGCTCCCTCCAAAGATTTTGTATTGGGTTCAGGTCTGGAGACTGGCTAGGCCACTCCAGGACCTTGAGATGCTTCTTACAGAGCCACTCCTTAGTTGCCCTGGCTGTGTTTTCGGGTCGTTGTCATGCTGGAAGACCCAGCCATGACCCATCTTCAATGCTCTTACTGAGGGAAGGAGGTTGTTGGCCAAGATCTCGCGATACATGGCCCCATCCATCCTCCCCTCAATACGGTGCAGTCGTCCTGTCCCCTTTGCAGAAAAGCATCCCCAAAGAATGATGTTTCCACCTCCATGCTTCACGGTTGGGATGGTGTTCTTGGGGTTGTACTCATCCTTCTTCTTCCTCCAAACACGGCGAGTGGAGTTTAGACCAAAAAGCTATATTTTTGTTTCATCAGACCACATGACCTTCTCCCATTCCTCCTCTGGATCATCCAGATGGTCATTGGCAAACTTCAGACGGGCTATTGTCCTGTAGCCCATCCCAGCTTTGTGCAGGTCTAACATTTTATCCCTGATGTCCTTACACAGCTCTCTGGTCTTGGCCATTGTGGAGAGGTTGGAGTCTGTTTGATTGAGTATGTGGACAGGTGTCTTTTATACAGGTAACGAGTTCAAACAGGTGCAGTTAATACAGGTAATGAGTGGAGAACAGGAGGGCTTCTTAAAGAAAAACTAACAGGTCTGTGAGAGCCGGAATTCTTACTGGTTGGTAGGTGATCAAATACTTACAGTGGGGGGGGGGGGAGTATTTATTCAGCCACCAATTGTGCAAGTTCTCCCACTTAAAAAGATGAGAGAGGCCTGTAATTTTCATCATAGGTACACGTCAACTATGACAGACAAATTGAAAAAAAAAATCCAGAAAATCACATTGTAGGAATTTTAATGAATTTATTTGCAAATGATGGTGGAAAATAAGTATTTGGTCACCTACAAACAAGCAAGATTTCTGGCTCTCACAGACCTGTAACTTCTTCTTTAAGAGGCTCCTCTGTCCTCCACTCGTTACCTGTATTAATGGCACCTGTTTGAACTTATTATCAGTATAAAAGACACCTGTCCACAACCTCAAACAGTCACACTCCAAACTCCACTATGGCCAAGACCAAAGAGCTGTCAAAGGACACCAGAAACAAAATTGTAGACCTGCACCAGGCTGGGAAGCTTGGTTTGAAGAAATCAACTGTGGGAGCAATTATTAGGAAATGGAAGACATACAAGACCACTGATAATCTCCCTCGATCTGGGGCTCCACGCAAGATCTCACCCCGTGGGGTCAAAATGATCACAAGAACGGTGAGCAAAAATCCCAGAACCACACGGGGGGACCTAGTGAATGACCTGCAGAGAGCTGGGACCAAAGTAACAAAGCCTACCATCAGTAACACACTACGCCGCCAGGGACTCAAATCCTGCAGTGCCAGACGTGTCCCCCTGCTTAAGCCAGTACATGTCCAGGCCCGTCTGAAGTTTGCTAGAGTGCATTTGGATGATCCAGAAGATGATTGGGAGAATGTCATATGGTCAGATGAAACCAAAATAAAACTTTTTGGTAAAAACTCAACTCGTCGTGTTTGGAGGACAAAGAATGCTGAGTTGCATCCAAAGAACACCATACCTACTGTGAAGCATGGGGGTGGAAACATCATGCTTTGGGGCTGTTTTTCTGCAAAGGGACCAGGACGACTGATCCGTGTAAAGGAAAGAATGAATGGGGCCATGTATCGTGAGATTTTGAGTGAAAACCTCCTTCCATCAGCAAGGGCATTGAAGATGAAACGTGGCTGGGTCTTTCAACATGACAATGATCCCAAACACACCGCCCGAGCAACGAAGGAGTGGCTTCGTAAGAAGCATTTCAAGGTCCTGGAGTGGCCTAGCCAGTCTCCAGATCTCAACCCCATAGAAAAACTTTGGAGGGAGTTGAAAGTCTGTGTTGCCCAGCGACAGCCCCAAAACATCACTGCTCTAGAGGAGATCTGCATGGAGGAATGGGCAAAAATACCAGCAACAGTGTGTGAAAACCTTGTGAAGACTTACAGAAAACATTTGACCTGTGTCATTGCCAACAAAGGGTATATAACAAAGTATTGAGAAACTTTTGTTATTGACCAAATACTTATTTTCCACCATAATTTGCAAATAAATTCATTAAAAATCCTACAATGTGATTTTCTGGATTTTTTTTTCTAATTTTGTCTGTCATAGTTGACGTGTACCTATGATGAAAATTACAGGCCTCTCTCATCTTTTTAAGTGGGAGAACTTGCACAATTGGTGGCTGACTAAATACTTTTTCCCCCACTATGTCATGCAATAAAATGCAAATTAATTACTTAAAAATCATACAATGTGATTTTCTGGATTTTTTAAAATTACAGACCTCTACATGCTTTGTAAGTAGGAAAACCTGCAAAATCGGCAGTGTATCAAATACTTTTTCTCCCCACTGTATGTATGCCAGTGAGTGTACTGGTTACTGTACGGTTTGTACACTGGTGACATACTGTGTGCAATGATATGAACATAGTATGTATGCAGGAACCTGACCTGAGGATTTATTTTGTAGCCCTGATGTTCCTCTAGTTTTTAACATTTCAAATGTATATCTGCCGCTGGCTAAAGAGGGAGATGTAGAGGTTGGAATGTGGAGGGTTTTAGTACTGTAGAGGAAATTATGTGATTGTTATAAAAAGTCATCCATTTGTTATATCGCTATCCTGTGGAGCTCACTGTGCTTTGCTTTGGTTTATGTCTCCTCCTCCCAAACTCTTTCTCTTCTCATTCCTCTCTTTTCAGGTGATATTACAACCTGTTCTAATTTTTCTGAATTTGTAAAGATTTCTATAATTTGAATTGTGACTGAGGCTTGAGTCTTAATGTGGTTGAAAGGGGGGTGCCTGCTGCTGTGGCCTCCCTGCTGGCGCAGTGATGGACATAACAAACTAGATTTCCCATGATTCCTGTAATTTTTTGCAGCTCAAATGCTGCCCTCATTTCCTCGTCTGCGTTATCTGCTTCTACAGCTGGGTTACTACTGCTCTGTGGCTGTTGTAATAAAAATACAAGACCTTCTACAGAAAAATAAGAACTATGATGTGAAATAATTTCAATCAAAATAAACTGTCTGTGAATATGTTTAAAATGTGAGTGCTGCATAGTTATTTATAGGTTCTGTGCAAGTTTCACTGGGTTGTCAAATGCCATTGTTAAATAATCAAATGAAGCAAAGATAGTCAGCAGAAGAGGTAATATTTTATTGACTGAAATTACGCAGAGGAACTATAAAACAAAATCTAATCTAACAAAACAGAAGGATTAACAAAGCAACATAATTCCAATGTTGGGGGAAAAAAGGTGCTCTAAGCAACAGTTCCACCTGCAAATAGCCCTGTATGTCTACAATATATCAGTAGTTAAAGAATACATTTGTTGAGAACAAAAATATAAGAAACAAACAATATACCGGTAACACGACTTCATGTATTTTTCTTTTGTATTCCTCAAAAACCTCAGAGAAATTGAAATGATCAGTACGATGCTGCAAATTACACCTTTCACTGTTCATCTGAATAACCTATTCATTAAAACCAAAAATTATGCAAATGTTAAGAAAAAAAAACATCTCAGTAAACAGAGGTACATTACACATTTTCTCTCTATTGGCCATGGCTTTGTAAGACTGAAGTTTGGGAGGCATCCGCGCAGGGTCAGATGCCCTCAGGAATAAAATTTACTGTTGTTGATTTTCTTTTCCTTTATCCTAGGACAGAGCAGTGAAGGACCAGACAAGATACAATTTATGTATGCCCTTTATCATCATTACATTTCTGTTGTAACATTTACACTACCGGTCAAAAGTTTTAGAACACCTACTCATTCAAGGGTTTTCTACATTTTTTACTATTTTCTACATTGTAGAATAATAGTGAAGGCATCAAAACTATGAAATAACACATATGGAATCATGTAGTAACCAAAAGTGTTCAACAAATCAAATTATATTTTTTATTTGAGATTCTTCAAATAGCCACCCTTTGCCTTGATGACAGCTTTGCACACTCTTGGCATTCTCTCAACCAGCTTCACCTGGAATGCTTTTACAACAATATTCAAGGAGCTCCCACATATGCTGAGCACTTGTTGGCTGCTTTTCCTTCACTCTGTGGTCCGACTCATCCCAAACCATCTCAATTTGGTTGAGGTCGGGGGATTGTGGAGGCCAGGTCATCTGATGCAGCACTCCATCACTCTCCTTGGTAAAATAGCCCTTATACAGTCTGGAGGTGTGTTGGGTCATTGTCCTGTTGAAAAACAAATGATAGTCCCACTATCCAGATGGCGTATCGCTGCAGAATGCTGTGGTAGCCATGCTGGTTAACTGTGCCTTGAACTCAAAATAAATCAGACAGTGTCACCAGCAAAGCACCCCCACACCATAACACCTCCTCCTCCATGCTTTACGGTGGGAAATACACATGCAGAGATCATCCGTTCACCCACACCGCATCTCACAAAGACACGGCGGTTGGAACCAAAAATCTCAAATTTGGACTCCAGACCAAAGGACAAATCTCCACCGGTCTAATGTCCATTGCTTGTGGTTCTTGGCCCAAGCAAGTCTCTTCTTCTTATTGGTGTCCTTTAGTAGAGGTTTCTTTGCAGCAATTCGACCATTAAGGCCTGATTCACACAGTCTCCTCTGAACAGTTGATGTTGAGATGTGTCTGTTACTTGAACTCTGTGAAGCATTTATTTGGGCTGCAATTTCTGAGGCTGGTAACTCTAATGAACTTATCCTTTAGCAGCAGAGGTAACTCTGGGTCTTCCATTCCTGTGGCGGCCAGTTTCATGAGAGCCAGTTTCATCATAGCGCTTGACGGTTTTTGCGACTGCACTTGAAGAAACTTTCAAAGTTCTTGAAATGTTCCGTATTGACTGACCTTCATGTCTTAAAGTAATGATGGACTGTCGTTTCTCTTTACTTATTTGAGCTGCTCTTGCCATAATATGGACATGGTCTTTTACCAAATAGGGCTATCTTCTGTATACCCCCCCTACCTTGTCACAACACAAGTGATTGGCTCAAACGCATTAAGGAAAGAAATTCCACAAATGAACTTTTAACAAGGCACACCTGTTAATTCAAATGCATTCCAGGTGACTACCTCATGAAGCTGGTTGAGAGAATGCCAAGAATGTGCAAAGCTGTCATCAAGGCAAAGGGTGGCTATTTGAAGAATCTCAAATATAAAATATATTTTGAATTGTTTAACACTTTTTTTTTACTACATGATTCCATATGTGTTCTTTTATAGTTTCGATGTCTTCACTATTATTCTACAATGTAGAAAATAGTAAATATAAAGAAAAAACCTTGAATGAGTAGGTGTTCTAAAACTTTTGACCGGTAGTGTATTTTGTATTATTATTTTAGTATAAGTTGAATAGAGCACAACTCAGGCTTACTTCTGTTTGCAGGTATCTTGAATCTTCTGTAACTGTGTCTCATTGGTGCTGAACTCTCTCATGAGGTCGTCACGGAGCTGTGGGGGGGCGGAGCGCTGCAGGCTGGTGTGGGTGTCGTACAGGAAGAGCTCGTTGTTTAGCTCAGCCTGCCTCCTCCGCAGTTGGTTAGACGACGAGTACAGCTCCTCCTCTGCTTTCTGATTGACAGACAGGCACAGGCTCACCATCCAGATGCACGAACACCACCACTAACTAACACCAAAGGCTGTCAACATGCAGTGTGTGTGTCTCACCTCCACCTGCTGCACATCGATGTAGACCAGTAAAGACGCCAGCTCTATGCTCTCATTGAAGCCATTTTTCAGAGGAACAGAACGGTACCCTAAGATGAAACAGTGTAGAAGTGTGTAAATGAGGGGTTTAAGGGTTCATGTACCACATATTTGTGTATGTGTCCTACCTGAGCGGATGCCCTTCACAGGGAAGGTAGCCTGAGCCAGGAAGTTAGGGTCTGAGAACATGTCCTCCTCATTCACCACAAAGCGCAGGAAGGTGAGCTCTGGCTCATGGACTGGGAACGTCACCGGCTCTGGAGGGGCCTTCCACACCGGGTTCAGCCCATTGTCACCTGAACAAACATAAAAAAAGCCCCATTACCAACATACATATATAAATACAAAGTCCTCTTTAAAACAACACACACAAGCTGAGTTTCTTTAATTAGCTGGAAGGCATTGTGGGAAGAATGTAATTCTATCCACTCCCACTCCTTACGATAGACGACGGTCTTAAACTTGTTATCCTCTGTGTGTCCACACAGCTCCGTCTCTACAAAAGGGCTGGCGATGCTACGGCCTGGCTTAGGCAAGTGTCTGGCAGCAATCACCTACAGGGGGCAGCACAACAGACTCAGTGCTCAACAGTAACCAGTTTACCATATGAAAGATTAGCAGGGAAATGTCAGTGTAAATAAATACATCTGGACAATGAACAGAGCCATACCCTGACAGTAAGGGTGAACTTGACTTTCCTCTTCTCCAGATGTGGATCATAGCTGTCTGAACGCATCATCTCTGGCTGTAGCACGTAGCCTGTATGTCCGTTAAGGCTGAAGAGGGCACTGTTGAGTTGAGTGTACTTATCTGGGGACACAAACAAACATAACCATCACTTGGACACCTTGCAAGCACTTTCCTAATCTCTGTGAACACATTTTTTTTTACTATACATTTTTATTTTGTCACATACACTGGATAGGCGCTGTGAAATGTGTTGTTTTACAAGGTCAGCCATAGTAGTACAGAGTCTCTGGAGCAAATTAGTGTAGCTCAGTTGGTAGAGCATGGTGCTTACAACGCCAGGGTTGTGGGTTCCTTGCTCTACCAAGGGCACATGGACAGATTTTCATTCCATCTTTAACACATGCTTGACAAACCCACCTGCAGTCTGGAAATTGAGCGCCACCATGTGGCAGCCCCAGGCCCACAAAGGGTAAGGGTCGTAGTTTGAGGAGTCTACACGTTGGCCCTTGGGGTAGATGCGGCTCAGGGACTTGCGGTTGTACCTCAGGAAGTCTGGAGTTTTGTTCTTGGCTGGGATCTTGTTCTCCACAAAGGAGCGGATCTCTTTGTAGCAGTAGTTCACTGTGGGGGCATGATTGGTAATGGGCAGACTAAGTTTGATCAGAACAATACTGAGAGGAGAGAGTCTACTACATGTGACTGTGGTGGAGGGTGACATATTCTGGTAGTAATAATATGAGTGCGAGTAAAGCGTGGGTTGAATTTCATTTGAAAAAACACATTTGAAATCTCTAATGTGTATTGCAGTGCATGTCATTGGATGCATGCCTCAGGTGGGTGGTAAGGGTGGTAGGGCTGGGGATCGTACCAAAGCAGTCCTTCTCCTTGCTGCGAGGCTGGCAGTACACCACCAGGTCAGACATCTCCATGGCAACCGCTTCACTCTTCTCCACCTCCTCCTGCTGCTTGATCTGGAGGACAGAAAACACACAGCAGCTTCCTGTCAGCATTTTTTTTACTTTAGTTTATTTAGTAAATCTTTTCTTAACTCTATTTTCTTAAAACTGCATTGTTGGTTACAGGCTTGTAAGTAAGCATTTCACGGTAAGGTCTACACCTGTTGTATTCGGCACGTGACAAATACAATTTGATTTGATTTGATTTGTCAGCATGACATCACTGAAGACGCCTGGCTGTGTAGCAGCTTCCTCTCAGCATGACATCACAATATACGCTGGGCTGTGCAGCTTTGGGAAGTGTAGATATAATGATATCATACTAGCCTCTTACGTATAGATACAGGTGGGTTATATGGAATTATATCATGATACTAACCTCTAACTTCTTGTTGTGCTGCTTGGTGATCTCTCTCTGGGTGATGTCCCAGGCCACCTGGTACCACTCAAATAGGTCTTCCAGTGACTCTGCCGCAAAGTCAAAATGAATCTTACTGTCGTAATCAGTCATCTGAAGTGTCATGACGTGGGACTTCCCATTCTTTCCCGATCTCACTGAGAAGAGAGCGGGGATAGAGGGAGCATGGGGAAGAGAGAGTTAAATATTGATTATGTGTAATGTAGTGTTTATAAACTCAGCAAAACAAGAAACGTCCTCTCACTGTCAACTGCATTTACAGTGCCTTGCAAAAGTATTCATCCCCCTTCGCGTTTTTCCTATTTTGTTGCATTACAACCTGTAATTAAAATGGATTTTTATTTGGATTTCATGTAATGGACATACACAAAAAAGTCCAAATTGGTGAAGTGAAATTTAAAAAAATAACTTGTTTCAAAAAATTCGAAGAAATCAATAACGGAAAGGTGGTGCGTGCATATGTATTCACCCCCTTTGCTATGAAGCACATAAATAAGATCTGGTGCAACCAATTACCTTCAGAAGTCACATAATTAGTTAGATTGCACACAGGTGGACTTTATTTAAGTGTCACATGATCTGTCACATGATCTCAGTATATATACACCTGTTCTGAAAGGCCACAGAGTCTGCAACACCACTAAGCAACGGGCACCACCAAGCAAGCAGCACCATGAAGACCAAGGAGCTTGCAAAACAGGTCAGGGACAAAGTTGTGGAGAAGTACAGATCAGGGTTGGGTTATAAAAAAATATCCAACACTTTGAACATCCCACGGAGCACCATTAAATATGGCACCACATCAAACCTGCCAAGAGAGGGCCGCCCACCAAAACTCACGGACCAGGCAATTAGGGTATTAATCAGAGAGGCAACAAAGAGACCAAAGATAACCCTGAAGGAGCTGCAAAGCTCCACAGCGGAGATTGGAGTAAGCCGTACACTCCACAGAGCTGGGCTTTACGGAAGAGTGGGCAGAAAAAAGCCATTGCTTAAAGAAAAAAATAAGCAAACACGTTTGGTGTTCGCCAAAAGCCATGTGGGAGACTTCCCAAACATATGGAAGAACGTACTCTGGTCAGATGAGACTTAAATTGAGCTTTTTGGCCATCAAGGAAAACGCTATGTCTGGCGCAAACCCAACACCTCTCATCACCCCGAGAACACCATCGGCAGGGACTGGGAAACTGGTCAGAATTGAAGGAATGATGGATGGCGCTAAATACTTGGAAATTCTTTAGGGAAACCTGTTTCAGTCTTCCAGAGATTTGAGACTGGGACGGAGGTTCACCTTCCAGCAGGACAATGACTCTAAGCATACTGCTAAAGCAACACTCTAGTGGTTTAAGGGGAAACATTTAAATGTCTTGGAATGGCCTAGTCAACGCCCAGAGCTCAATCCAATTCAGAATCTGTGGTATGACTTAAAAATTGCTGTACACCAGCGGAACCCATCCAACTTGAAGGAGCTGGAGCAGTTTTGCCTTGAAGAATGGGCAGAAATCCCAGTGGCTAGATGTGCCAAGCTTATAGAGACATACCCCAAGAGACTTGCAGCTGTAATTGCTGCAAAAGGTGGCTCTACAAAGTATTGACTTTGGGGGGGTGAATAGTTATGCACGCTCAAGTTTTCTGTTTTTTTTGTCTTGTTTCTTGTTTGTTTCACAAGAAAAAATATTTTGCATGTTGTGTAAATCAAATGATACAAATCCCCAAAAAATCAATTTTAATTCCAGGTTGTAAGGCAACAAAATAGGAAAAAAGACACTGTATTTTCAGCAAACTTAACAAATATTTGTATGAACATAACAAGATTCAACAACTGAGACATAAACTGAACAAGTTCCACAGACATGTGACTAACAGAAATTGAATAATGTGTCCCTGAACAAAGGGGGGGGTCAAAATCAAAAGTAACAGTCAGTATCTGGTGTGGCCACCAGCTGCATTAAGTACTGCAGTGCATCTCCTCCTCATGGACTGCACCAGATTTGCCAGTTCTTGCTGTGAGATGTTACCCCACTCTTCCACCAAGGCACCTGCAAGTTCCCGGACATTTCTGGGGGGAAGGGCCCTAGCCCTCACCCTCCGATCCAACAGATCCCAGACGTGCTCAATGGGATTGAGATCCGGCCTCTTCACTGGCCATGGCAGAACACTGACATTCCTGTCTTGCAGGAAATCACGCACAGAACGAGCAGTATGGCTGGTGGCATTGTCATGCTGGAGGGTCATGTCAGGATGAGCCTGCAGGAAGGGTACCACATGAGGGAGGAGGATGTCTTCCCTGTAACGCACAGCGTTGAGATTACCTGCAATGACAACAAGCTCAGTCCGATGATGCTGTGACACACCGCCCCAGACCATGACGGACCCTCCACCTCCAAATCGATCCCGCTCCAGAGTACAGGCCTTGGTGTAACGCTCATTCCTTCAACGATAAACGCGAATCCGACCATCACCCCTGGTGAGACAAAACCGCGACTCGTCAGTGAAGATAACTTTTTGCCAGTCCTGTCTGGTCCAGCGACGGTGGGTTTGTGCCCATAGGTGACGTTGTTGCCGGTGATGTCTGGTGAGGACCTGCCTTACAACAGGCCTACAAGCCCTCAGTCCAGCCTCTCTCAGCCTATTGCGGACAGTCTGAGCACTGATGGAGGGATTGTGCGTTCCTGGTGTAACTCGGGCAGTTGTTGTTGCCATCCTGTACCCGTCCCGCAGGTGTGATGTTCGGATGTACCGATCCTGTGCAGGTGTTGTTACACGTGGTCTGCCACTGCGAGGACGATCAGCTGTCCATCCTGTCTCCCTGTAGCACTGTCTTAGGCGTCTCACAGTACGGACATTGCAATGTATTGCCCTGGCCACATCTGCAGTCCTCATGCCTCCTTGCAGCATGCCTAAGGCAAGTTCACACAGATGAGCAGGGACCCTGGGCATCTTTCTTTTGGTGTTTTTCAGAGTCAGTAGAAAGGCCTCTTTAGTGTCCTAAGTTTTCATAACTGTGACCTTAACTGCCTACCATCTGTAAGCTGTTAGTGTCTTAACGACCGTTCCACAGGTGCATGTTCATTAATTGTTTATGGTTCATTGAACATGCATGGAAAACAGTGTTTAAACCCTTTACAATGAAGATCTGTGAAGTTATTTGGATTTTTACTAATTATCTTTGAAAGACAGGGTCCTGAAAAAGGGATGTTTCTTTTTTTGCTGAGCTTATAATACAGTGTTGTGTTTGGGTACAGGATTAGACTGTGTCTACATGTTATGTACCGTCAATTGTATATTTAGCCAGTGTACGGTGTCGCGGTCTAAAACGATCCATTTGGAATTGTGTATAGTTGTGTGTACTGTTGATATGAGGTATGTTTTAAGAGCAGTCAGTGTAATGAGCATGTGCTGTGTGGAAGGACTGGGGGTTTTGGTATGTAGTGTGTTTATCATGTGAAGATAGCATGTTTCATTAATAGATGATCTGTGTTTGGACAGCATGTAAAACAGATGTAATAGAATTACTGTACTCACCAACGTTACACTTGGAAATGTCAACAACTCCTTTACACATATCCCCCAGAGGATTGTCCTCCATGACCTGTGAGACAAATGTGTACACTGTAGATCTCTAAATATGCACTCTTACCACACAAGAAATATACAGCATAAATGCATAAAGTCATTGACAGACTGACCCCACACAAGTAATACAGTAACACCATGCAAAATACTGATCACTCCTCCTACCTGATCTTGTGACTCAGCTTTGATATTGTTGGACACTTCCTCAACATAGTTGGCAGGGAAAAATAGCTGCAGCTTTCCCCCATAGTCCCCTTTCCACCTGTAGGGAGCAGCAGAGAGAGGTTAGTATGTTCCTAATCTGACCTGAGATCAGATCGGTGTGTGCGTACGTGCGTGTGTGTGTCTGTGTTCTGGGGCCTCACCATCCATCGCTTTCTTTTGACACGTTGTGGATCAGAGCCCCCTTGCAGAAGCTCAGTTCATCAGATCTCATGGGTCTGTAGTCGTACAGAGCTTTAACTGTACTCGTCGGCTGGTGGAGTTATACATACAGTACATCAACAGGTACATACATTAATACACATACAAATATAGATACACACACTACATTGACATTGCCTGAGAAAATCTATAAACATAATTTCAATGAAGGGAAACAAGTTAACATAATATGTGAACTTACCAGTGACTGCTCGATTTCATTTGGCTCCACATACATGTTAATATCATACAGTGAGGCGCAGTCTGTCTCCTACACAGACAAACCATTGAAAACACTTATCAGAAAACATACTCTATTTAACCTTTCCTCCCCCAGCAGTCAAGTCTCTGCCCCGCTTTTGCCCTCTCATCCCCATTATATCTCTCTCCCATCCTCTTTTTCCCTTAGTTTCTCCTGCCTCCAGTCTCTCCCCGTCCCCCTCTCTCACCGTGCTGAAGCGGCTGACCAGTTCCGGTGTGACAGGGTAGCGTAGTTTGATCTTGCGATACAGAGGCTTCTTACGGAAGTAGTTGACCAGCTCCACCAGGCTCTCGAACTCAGTGGTGGTTCCCAGCACGTACAAAGAGCCATCCTTCTGGATCCGACAGTGCTTCACCTTCCCATCACCTCTGAAGGTGATAGCGTAGGAGTCGCCCTCCTCTCTCTGTCTGATGAGGAAGGCTCCGTCCCGGGGGATTCTCAACAGATAGTCCTCTGCCTCCCCTCTGCTCAGGTTACTATAGAACCACCTGACCACCACAACACACAGAGATATAATCTATGTGTAAGTGTGTGCATTTTTGTGTACCTGTGTGCATGTTTAAATTTAGACATACTCTATGTCAGATGACCCTGTGTAACTCACCCTTCCAGTAGGTGTGGGTTGGGCCGAGGCACAGCCTCAGTGAGGCGCAGGTCAAAGTCGTGGCAGCGGAGGGGCATGTCGCGATAGTGCTGGATCAGTGCGTAAACACTGGGGAAGTGCAGGTTATCAGTCAGGAAGTAGAAGGTGTGTCCTCCCTCTGAGCCAGAGCGGATACGACAGTGCTGGACCCTCCCACTGCGCCTACAGTAGAACACACCGAAAACAGACATCAGCACAGCAGAGTCTTAAACACAGGACACACATAATGGCAGTAGAGCTGCAGCCAAGCTGGCGTACCAGAATGAGAGGGTGAAGTCTGTCACAAAGGTGTCGCTTTCTCGGACCAGGAAGGTGCCATCCCTGCCTCCCGACTCAGCACAGAACTCCTGAAGCAGCCTCTCTGCTGTCTGCCTCCCCTCACTCATCCTCCCATGGAACCAGGGCTCAGACGTGTGGAGCTCTGGGGACTACAGCATAGAGGGAGGGAGGGAGGGAGGGGGGAGTTTTGGAAGAAAGGTAAGAAGGTAGGAAGGCGGGAGGGAGAGGAGGACGATACAAATGAGTCATAATTATGTAATATTAAATACAGTGACAATGATCATTTGTTTACTACAATTAGAATTGAACTATTCTCTGTTGTTTACCTTCCTGAGCTCCTCCTCCTCCTCCTCCTCTGCATAGTAGAGTGTGTCATCTGAAATCACACAGTAGTGCTTGTTCCATCGCTACAGGTGGACAAACAGGCACAATGTCAGAATAGTCGACAATTGCAACCATCACAACAACATATTCACTAACAACACTAACAATGCTATGACTATGAAACAAATACATTCATATACAACACACTTCCTGAACCAAATAGGCCTACAGACTTCTAAGGAACTAGCTTGGAACCATATCATGTTAACAGGACAAGCGGTCTCTAAGTTACCTGGTCCACTGGGTCCCAGATATGCAGGTCTCCTTGCTTCTCTCCCTTCCGGAGGTCCTTTCCGCCGATGCCTCCCTCCACAATCAGTTTCTTGTGCTGTAGGGGAGAGGAGTTGGAGCAGCACAGTGACCACCACAGACCCACCATGCAGGTAATAACTGAATGTAATCTGTATAGCCCATCATATCATGATGATGAATCACTTTACTGTAACACGCTGTACCACATACTACATCGTAAATCGTTTTGCCCTATGACTCAATTCCTCACATTATTCCCTCCCACCACAACCCCCATGGTACCCTCTGGGCTGGCCCTCACCTTGAGGATGATCTTGCCCTTGAGCTGCGTGGGGGAGGGCAGCTGTTCAGCCATCAGCTCCACAGGCTCCATCAGCAGCTTGTCCTGGAATACCTCTCTGAAGATACGAGCCATCTGCCTCTGCTGCTCTATGGGACAGTGCTCTTCGATGGAGAGAATCACAGGGTATCTGACAACAACATCACCACAAAGCTCAGTCAACACAGGCAGAATGTTCTAGAAACATTTACAGTCCTCAGTTGTAAAGCACCTCAGGTGTGGGTATGTTTATTAGTTTGGGTGAGTTTTCTCAGACAGATTGAGACTCACTCAGATGTGACGAAGGCATGGTCATTGATGGCCTTCACCACGTCCTCAAACTTGATCTTGGTAGTCCTGGTCCAGCCATGGTATATGATGGGCTCACCTGGCCCTTCCCAGCAGTCCACTATAGTGCCGCACAACACAAAATAATCCTTTACAACTATAGAAGTAAATTGATAATGTAATGAGGGCAAAGTAAAATATGGCAGGGACTATTTTAGTGAGGTTTAAGCTGTACAACTAACACTCAATACAGCGGCATCCCAGACGCAGACAGCGAACGTAGGCCTCGGTGGACGACTCGCTCCGCAGCTGGTCTCCAGTCAAGTACCTGATGGAAACACAAAACAACATCTTAACAAGAAATAAAACATGCAAACAAATCACAAACAGCATTTGTGTGTTTATTCTAATATCAGTCATAGCCTATTCAGAGTGGCACCACAGGTCCAGTGGTGTGGTGAAAAAATAATTCTGGGGTCTGTAGTTTTTTCTGATCTGGTAAACTAACCAGGTAAAACTCCAGACCTTATACGGTATGACATGATTAATCTGTTGTAAAAAGGTTTAATATGGGCTATGATAGGAAAATAGTTTTTCTAATCATGTCACATGGTTTTTAAAAACTCATGGAAAAACTCCTGGTCTTGGTGAGGATTAAAACCCTGTTAAATTGCCTCAACCTTGTAATTGTTAATATTAATTATATTTTAAGGACTAGGGGCGTTTCCTACACACAAACACAGAGAAACCAACATGATTGGACAATAAAACTCACAGGGCTGAGCTTGCTTTATGCAGGTCTGCATCGTGTAGTCATGCCCTATGCAACTGTAGGCCTAATTAAAAATGTACTCATAGTCTATGTCAGCTATTGTGTTTAGACCTATTGATTAATTCCTGTTTTGGATTGAAAAAGTATAGGTAGCCTACTCAGCCCAGGTTTTAATATAAACCACATTTTATCTCATTCAAATTTTGTCACAAACAAATGGGCTATAAATACACAACGTTACCTCTTGGTTTACCCTGGCCAGAGGGACAGGGCACATAGGCTAGACTATACAGCTGCTGTTGTTAGTAGCTTACAGTTGATCAGACTGTAAAATAGTATAGTTTCCATGCAATACAGCAAGTCATATCGCTAATGTTTAGGTCTATAGGCTGCTGCATTTAGATTTTGCTCGTGTCTGTTGGGAGTGATGTGTTATCACGGTTGCTTAATAAATACTGGAGGAAATTGGAGATCCCACTTAGAGCTTTGTGCGTTGCGCCCTGCCCGCGCGAGCTGCGATTTCCGCGAATCTGATTGGTCAAGACACGCAAAGAGCCTGCAGCAGCACTCTGATTTGAAGGACAGAGAAATTGTGAGCAAGTTGACAAATCATGAGGCAAATCGGTCTAAAAAGCAGCACTTTGCCCCTTTTTTAAACGCTTTGCATAGATATATTTTATTAAACTAAATCAGAAGTGGTGTGGCACAGCCACACCTGATGAAAAGTGCTGTGGCAAATGCAGCCTCGCCACACTTTTTCCAGCGGCCCTGAGCCTATTCATTACACAGGTTTACAGTATTGCTGAAATTCTTTACTGTGCTGACAACTGTACTTACACTTGGTGTGAAACACTGATTCAAAAAAAGTTAAGTAGTGTTAATTTCATAGTGTTGTGTTGTATTTTTGTGTTATGTGGCGGTACTGACGTGTTGTGTGAGGAATTGATCCAGTAGTGGGACAGCGGGTTGTTCATATCCAGGTTGCACATCTCTGAGTATTTCTCATCCCAAATCGAGTTCTCCTTAGAGAAGAGGAAACTGAGGAACTAAAGTGAGAGAAGAGAGAGAGAGTGCTGTGACAAACATAACACATCATTCTCCACTCCCCATACACACACACATCAAACACTGTGTCCCACCTCGCTGACGGTGAACTCTGGATCATTGGTCTTCCTCATGGTGTCGTCTATAAAGGTGGTCATCAGCTCTCTGACCTGGTTCAGGTCATTGGCCCACGACTCCTGAGAAAGAGAAACGTAGAGAGTGAGGAAAATAGAGGGAACATTTTTAAATAAAGGTAATGATAAAAGGTAACAGGTTAAACACTGAAGGAAACAGACCCAGTTTTACCAATTTGATTATTGATAGATAGCTTGATCTTACCTTCTGCTGGTACAGAAGGAACCGTTGGAAATCATGGAGAAGAACTGCAGAGGCATCAGGTTTATCTGTACTACTACAGTAGGGAAAAACCACAACACACCAACATACTGTCAACAAGACTCAAGTTTACCGGTATAATAAAGCTGAGTAAATTATTAATTGTGATTGTAGAACTACATCTTTCAATGAAAGAGAAAGACCCACCCCATGATGAAAGCACATGACTCCCTTTTAAACTCCTCGAGAATCTGATGAAACATATCCACACACAAGTTACAAGTCAATACACAGTCACACACACACACACACTGGTTGACGGCACAAAGTACAGTGGGGAAAAAAAGTATTTAGTCAGCCACCAATTGTGCAAGTTCTCCCATTTAAAAAGATGAGAGAGGCCTGTAATTTTCATCATAGGTACACGTCAACTATGACAGACAAATTGAGGAAAAAAAATCCAGAAAATCACGACCAAAGAGCTGTCAAAGGACACCAGAAACAAAATTGTAGACCTGCACCAGGCTGGGAAGACTGAATCTGCAATAGGTAAGCAGCTTGGTTTGAAGAACTCAATTGTGGGAGCAATTATTAGGAAATGGAAGACATACAAGACCACTGATAATCTCCCTCGATCTGGGGCTCCACGCAAGATCTCACCCCGTGGGGTCAAAATGATCACAAGAACGGTGACGACTGATCCGTGTAAAGGAAAGAATGAATGGGGCCATGTATCGTGAGATTTTGAGTGAAAACCTCCTTCCATCAGCAAGGGCATTGAAGATGAAACGTGGCTGGGTCTTTCAGCATGACAATGATCCCAAACACACCGCCCGGGCAACGAAGGAGTGGCTTCATAAGAAGCATTTCAAGGTCCTGGAGTGGCCTAGCCAGTCTCCAGATCTCAACCCCATAGAAAATCTTTGGAGGGAGTTGAAATTCTGTGTTGCCCAGCGACAGCCCCAAAACATCACTGCTCTAGAGGAGATCTGCATGGAGGAATGGGCCAAAATACCAGCAACAGTGTGTGAAAACCTTGTGAAGACTTACAGAAAACGTTTGACCTGTGTCATTGCCAACAAAGGGTATATAACAAAGTATTGAGAAACTTTTGTTATTGACCAAATACTTATTTTCCACCATAATTTGCAAATAAATTCATTAAAAATCCTACAATGTGATTTTCTGGATTTTTTTCTCATTTTGTCTGTCATAGTTGACGTGTACCTATAATGAAAATTACAGGCCTCTCTCATCTTTTTAAGTGGGAGAACTTGCGCAATTGGTGGCTGACTAAATACTTTTTTCCCCACTGTATGTCTAATCATATTAAACATGCAAAATGTGATATGCTAGCTAACACTTCCGATGTGAACACACATATCAACACATACTGTAAGAGAAGTGAAACTGTCAGTAATTTATGGTATCTGTTCAGGTTTTTCTACTTAGAGAGTGAAGTAGTGCAGTAATATTCTGACTCACATCTTTCTGATCAAACATTAGAATATTGTAGAATTTATGAAACTGCTCAAAGTCCAGGACATCTTTCCTGGCTCCAATTTCCTGGAATAAAAGAGGGAGATGGACAATGTTTGGTTCAGAATACTACAATTTATTTTATTACATACATACTTCAATTCTATTACAATTGAGAGATCCCTTGAGTGCCCAAGATCACTTATTATCATCTAAAATAACTAATGAATATAATTAATTATACTGCCCAAGGTTTTAACTGGCCAAGGAGGGAGGGAAACTTCAGCTCCTTGGTTCTACAACTCATTAAAGCTTTGGCAGCAGTGTGGTCCTCTGTAGCTCAGCTGGTAGAGCACGGCGCTTGTAACGCCAAGGTAGTGGGTTCGATCCCCGGGACCACCCATACACAAAAATGTATGCACGCACGACTGTAAGTCGCTTTGGATAAAAGCGTCTGCTAAATGGCATATTATTATTTATTATTATTATTATAGGATGAGGGTGTGAAGAGGGATGAAAAGGGGATGGGTACCGAGAACTTTTCCTTTAGGGAACGTGTGCCGGGGACCTTGTAGTTGAGCTGTGGCAGAAGAGACTTCACCTCCTTCAAGGTGATTCTGAGGAGAACAAATGAAAAGAACAATGGATTGAATTGGGGAAATTATTAAAGGGGCAGAATGGGAATTGGCATAAAAAGTGGTATAATTAAGTAGAGGATTAAATCCATTTTTGAGGGTTGAAACTGTTCTTACCTGTTCTTTTTAGTCTGATTGATAGAATACATCTGTTTCCTCAACCAGCTGGAAACAACAAACAATATGGTCAGTAATTGTCAGTTATCGTCCATATAATGGGTGTGTACAGTATATGGGTTTAGGTTTGTGTTTGTGGTCTTTTCACGTGTGTGTATGTGTGTGTGTGTTCACCTCTCTATGATGTCTGGTGTGGGGGCCACCAGTGTCTCCTGTCTAAGTAACTCCAGGCCTGTCAGCCATTTCTCTGCGTCATCCACAGTGTCAGCTGTCAATCAACACAGACTATTACTGTTACAAGCTTGATTATCCAATATAACCTACAACAAACTATCCATATTCAATCAATAGGCTATCATCAACAAAATTATGTTGTATGGCATCAAATAAACACAGAAAATCTGACATACTCTGCACCCTCACACACACACTTACCGCCAAGGCTTATGGTGTTAAGAACAAATTGGGACCCATAGAAGATGGTGAAGCAGGTATTCTCATCATGTTTGTCCTTGCCATCTCTGAACCTCTCAAAGTCCTTTGAGTTCCTCCCTGGGCGAATCTCCCGTATCTCAGACAGGTCCACTGAAACCGTACTCATCATTGTTACTCACTCTCTCACATACTCTCCCTCTCCCTCACACACATCCCTATCCACACACCACATCTCTTAATGTACTCACAGTCCCTCTCTTCTCATTGCTCATCATGTTTTAGGGTTAGGGTTGGGATTCGAGTTAGACTTAGGGTAAAGATTCAGGGTTACTCACAGACACCATCATTCTTGTCTGCTGTTCGGGTCCAGGCCACCTGCCTGGTCTCCATGATGACCTGCACAGTAAGGCGCTCTACCTTCTGGCGGAACACGGTCATGACGATACCCATCTCCAGGTCCCTCTTGACTAGACTCTTCCTGTACTCCGTCAGCTCTCCCTGCTGGTTTCGCCCCAGCCCCGCCATTTCTGGCCCTGTGGAATGAGCCCATACTCTACTTATAGTAGGGATGCAATGGTTCACTATGTCCACGGTTTTGTTCAGTGAATCATTAAACACCTACCTTATAGCCTCTCCATGAAGCTGTTTCACGATTCATGGTTTCATCATGTCAAACAGAGGACGAGGAAGCAACTACAGGCCAGTACAGTCATAAAGCATGTTTTTATTTGACCATTTTAAATATTTCAGGAGGTGCATAGTGTACAGTGGCAGTATATTCTGTTCATTTGCATTGATTACTTGTTAGGCGTCATATCTATGTTTATAACATGGGGGGGGAAAAATATTTTATTTGCTTGATAACAGATCTGTAACTTGTAACAACTCTACATTGCATTGTATATTAGCTTATTTATAACCTCAAAATATATATATTTTCAATTATAAAACTGGTTGTTTGGATCCTGGATGCTGATTGGACGAGCAGCGTTCAAAGCTACGCTGTATTGGCGGTCACAGACACATTAATGCCTGCTAACAGTTCCATCTGAAAATGATCACTGCGCCTCCATAAGAATATCACGTTCATGTTGGTGTCCGAATCATCTCTTATATTTATCTCAACTCGCATATAATTTCCCCTTGCTTCCTGCCTTTCATTTACTTTGGTACAGCGGGGGTTAATATAAACCTCGCTGTCTGCCTGTCCGACCTCGGAAACAAAGTTTCACTTTTGAATTTCAATCTCTGTCGTAGTACCATACCTAAAGTGAACTGTGTCCAGACAAGACAACTTTTTCTGAGCCAGTCGAAATCACGCATCAACGTCATTATCATGGACATTGAGCTAATGATGCGCGATCTCGCCTGGCATTAAAAATGTGCTCTCTCGTCAGGACACTGTTGTTCAGAGGAGCTAGCTAACAACACAGCTAACACAATCACTTCAAACTGAAGATGGAAAGACTGCAAACTATCTGCATTTCGTTTAGTTTTACCTGTTTTCTATTGACATTTCTTTGTATATATCCATAAAAATGATGCCAGCTGATTCATGATTTCGACTGGCTGAGAAAAGCTGTCTGCCTGTCTGTCTCGTCCAGACACATTCATTACTATGGGACAGTTGGAGATCGAATTTCAATATTGAAACAATGTTGCAAATGTCGGAGAGACAGACAGCAAGGTTTATACAAATATCCGCGGTTGAAAACCAAATGCTAGTCTAAAGGAAATGGGAGATAATGTCTAGATGCTTTTTATAACGGAGATCAAGTTTATAAATTGCCTGGCAAAATAAAAAACTGAAATATCAAATGTACATATAAATATTCAGACCCTTTACTCAGTACTTTGTTGAAGCACCTTTGGCAGTGATTACAACCTCGTGTCATCTTGGGTTTGATGTTACAAACTTGGCACACCTGTATTTGGGGAGTTTCTCCCATTCTTCTCTGCAGATGCTCTCAAGCTCTGTCAGGTTGGATGGGGAGCGTCGCTGCACAGCTATTTTCAGATCTCTCGCCACTCAAGGACATTCAGAGACTTGTCCCGAAGCTACTCCTGCGTTGTCTTGGCTGTGTGCTTAGGATCGTTGTCCTGTTGGAAGGTGAACCTTCGCCCCAGTCTGAGGTCCTGAGCGCTCTGGAGCAGGTTTTCATCAAAGATCTCTCTGTACTTTGCTCATGTTTCCCTCAATCCTGACTAGTCTCCCAGTCCCTGCCGCTGAAAAACATCCCCACAGCATGATGCTGCCACCACCATGCTTCACTGTAGGGATTGTGCCAGGTTTCCTCCAGACGTGACGCTTGGCATTCAGGCCAAAGAGTTCAATCTTTGTTTCATCAGACCAGAGAATCTTGTTTCTCATGGTCTGAGAGTCCTTTAGGTGCCTTTTGGCAAACTCTGTGGCTGGCCGCTCTACCATAAAGGCCTGATTGGGTTCGGGTTATGGTGCTGCAGAGATGGTTGTGGTCCTCTGTAGCTCAATTGTTAGAGCATGGCGCTTGTAACGCCAGGGTAGTGGGTTCAATCCCCGGGACCACCCATACGTAAAAATGTATGCACACATGACTGTAAGTCGCTTTGGATAAAAGCGTCTGCTAAATGGCATATTATTATTATTATTGTCCTTCTGGAAGTTTCTCCCATCTCCACAGAGGAACTCAGGATCTCTGTCAGAGTGACCATCGGGTTATTGGTCACCTCCTTGACCAAGGCCCTTTTCCCCCGATTGCTCCGTTTGGCCGGATCAGCCAGCTCTAGGAAGAGTCTTGGTGGTTCCAAACTTCTCCATTTAATAATGATGGAGGCCACTGTGTTCTTGGGGACTTTCAATGCTGCAGAAATGTTTTGGTACCCTTCCCCAGATCGGTGCTTCGACACAATCCTGTCTCGGAGCTCTACGGACAATTCCTTCGACCTCATGGCTTGGTTTTTGCTCTGACATGCACTGTCAACTGTGGGACCTTATATAGACAGGTGTGTGCCTTTCCAAATCATGTCCAATCAATTGAATGTACCACAGATGGACTCCAATCAAGTTGTAGAAACATTTCAAGGATGAGCAATGGAAACAGGATGCACCTGAGCTCAATTTCGAGTCTCATAGCAAAGGGTCTGAATACTTATGTAAATAAGGTATTTCTGTTTTTTATTTGTAATATATTTGCAAAAATGTATAAAAACCTGTTTTCGCTTTGTCATTATGGGGTATTGTGTGTAGATTGATGAGGAACATTTTTAATTTAATCCATTTAGAATAAGGCTGTAAGGTAACAAAATGTGGTAAAAAGGGAAGGGGTCTGAATACTTTCCGAATGCACTGTACATTTCAACCAAGAGCAACAGCTCTAGCAGCTATGTGTTCTACTTTCCAAACCACAACATTTAACAACCAACCTTTTTCGTTTTTTCTGTTAACTGGCAGTCTCTTAGTGTGAGGGAGGGAAAGTTATTTGCACCTCTACGTTTTTAGGCTTTATGGTATATGGTATGGTGTGTGTACAAATGGAAGCAAACTTTGTGCCGGAATACTGAGGGGTAATATTATATGAGTGTGTCAGACCTGATTCCATGTAGCACTCATTATTTACATTGCAAATGAGCAGCAGGCGCAGTGGATGGATGGACCCAGAGAGAGAAGTGAAGTATTAACCCAGAACTATTTCAATATCTTTCCTGAGGAAACCTTTGCTCTCAACGGTTGCTGTCCCCTTAAAGGGCTATCCACAACATTTACACAAAGTAGTTTCCTGATACACCACAAGAACATAGCCAACAACACACACATAAACCATAAGCATAACTGATGGTTCACTACTTCCTTCTGTAAAAGAGGTATCAAGTGTAGTTTAGACCAAATGTGATACCAATCAACACCGTGGCACTCCCCATGTCTTGATGTACCATATGAGAGACAATACAATACAGGTATGTCAAAATATGATGTAAATTGTAACCCTGATTACATTAGGCACATCATTGATTAAAATCCCCACTTTTTTGGTGTTTGCTATCCACAATTGAATTATCATGAAAGTAGATGCAGCTTGCTGGACAATTACTCCAAGTGTTAAGATGAATTTCGGGTGTATGACATAACGGGTTCCTTGGAAATTCATATTTTAATAGATTAGGGAAAATTAGATCGACATTTGGAAGCGCAGCAGGTGTTCCGTCTTATATTAGGAAGGTTCACACAATCACACCCCACAAGACCCCTGACAGAGACCATTACGGGCGATGAAAATCCATCACCTTCAACGCTCCACTTGAAACTAAAAGCGGATTTCCCCGTTGTCACACTGCTCTCACTTTGCTGTACATTTCCACACCCACAAAAAAACGGAGAAGGTTAAAGACTTACCCAATAAATGAAACAACCAATGTTATAGCTGTAAAGTAGCCTCTTGTATAAATTAATTCATGCTTTTAACGCTTGAGAAAATAAAAATTCTACAGTCTTTCAAACAGTCCTAACCCAGCCGCGAAATGGTCAGTTCCTCAATTCTTTGTGTACAAGGAAGTAAAGTTAACTTGCATTATAGGCATAGCAGTAATAAAAAGATCCGGAAGTACGGGTATCTATGCAAAGTCCCCTTGGACGCAAGAGTATTTGGCGACACAGCTGCATTGAAAGGTTTCAGCTTTTTGGTGAAGTCAAATTATTGGCCTATGATGAAGTAGTTATTGGAAGTCCTTTGACTGTCTATACATGGGCAAATTGTTGTAAATATATATAATGGTCACTGATGGCAATGTTTGTCTCAAACTCTTATCTCTTAAAACTCTATCTCTTAAGTGAAAGCATCCCTCGTGGTTACAGTGATAGGCTGAAAAGATCGAAACCACCTGCTGTGCCTGTTGAGAAGCAGGAGAGCGAGTTTATTCTAGAGCAGCAGCGCTGCACCGCACTCAATTGATAATTTGAGAGATGTCGACCACAGTTTGTTTAATCTGTTGATAATTTGAATCTATATTATTTACCAATGAACCATTCCTATTAACCCATTCACGTCATTGTACTATATTCAGTACAATATCAAAATGCGCCACAGAACAAATCCTGTTTGGCTTAATTGCATGAAATTTGATGTCAACACAGTTAGTACAAGTGCTAAATAGGCCACATTTAAATTGTAAGATTGTCATTATCTGTCATACTTCCTGTGTCAATCAAAGATGGGATTTTTAGGAAATTAGAAAAAATCCTTAAAATGACTTCAGCATATGTATTTTGAATGATAAAAATGGTTGTTTAGATCATGGATGCTGATTGGACAAGCAGCGTTCCAAGCTGTATTTACCATCACAGGAATTCTATGCCTGCTAACAGTTCCATCTGAAAATTATCAATGCACCTCTATAAGAATATCATGTTCATAATCTCTTGTATTTATCTCAACTCGCACATTATTTCCCCTTGCTTCCTGCTTAGCATTTAGTTTGGTACAGCGGAAGATCATATAAACCTCTGTACCATACATGGAGAGTGAATAGTGCCCAGACAAGACTAGACAACTTTTTCTGTGCCAGGCGAAATCACGCTTAAAAGTTAATATAATGGACATATCCAAGTAAATGTAAAAAAGCTCAATCAAACAAACATGCAGCTAGTGTATTGTCATTCCAGGTTAAAATGACTGAGTTAGCTGAAGCTAGCTAGCGACAATACAGTTATTATCTATCCTGCATAGCAACCATTTTGTTTAGAACAGATTACAAGTACTTTTGCATAGCAACTATGAAAAAAAATGTTTGGACTGGGTCTGTAGCAACATGTCCAAAATAACTAACAACCAGATTTTTGCCTGGACTATATCTTCTGGAGGAAGAATGAAATTGTATGAATTTACTTATTAAAATAATGTTGTAATGAAAATATGCAATTCATTGTTATTTTAATATGTTGGTAACAGTTTATAAAAGCATTATACAATGGACATAATGCCTATTTACTCTTTTCCATCTGACTGCACAATCCACTGTCTCGTCAGCCCGGCCAGGCAATTTATAAACTTGATCTCCACTATAAAAAGCATCTAGACATTATCTCACATTTCTTTTAGACTAACATTTCGTTTTCAACAGCGGAGATGTGTATAAACCTTGCTGTCTGTCTCTCCGACATTTGCAACATTGTTTCAATATTCAAATTAGATCTCCAGCTGTCGCATAGTAATGAACGTGTCGGGAGTCGGGTTGAGACAGACAGGCAGGCAGCTTTTCTCAGCCAGTCGAAATCATGAATCAGTATAATTTCTATGGATATATACAAATAAATATAAATAGAAAACAGGTCAAACGAAATGCAGCTAGTTTGCAGTCTTTACAGCTTCAGTTTGAAGTGATTGTGTTAGCTGTGTTGCTGGCTAGTTCCTCTGAACAGTGTCCTGACGAGAGAGCACATTTTCTATTCCAGGTGAAATCGCACATCATTAGCTCATTGTTATGGATGTATCCAAATAAATGTCACTTGAAAACAGCTTAAACCACGGCTGGCCCGCACATTAGGCAGGATTAGGCAGCCGCCTATGGTGGCAGATTGACGAGGGCGGCACCTCCAACAACAGCACATAAAACCTCACATAAATCTACCCAAAAACAATAACAATTTCTCTCAACCAGTGGCATATGGGCATTTTAGGTGAACGCTGATGACGCCCTTTGATCTAACATCAATTATGTAGCAGATATAGGATATGGTAGAAAGAACATGTGGCCTTTTCTGCAGTCTACAAACTGGAGATAAAATGTATGACAATGTAATGAGACGGACACTTTTTACATCATGCAGGTTTCTCCAATCAAATAGCCTAACCTAAATGGCGCTCAATCAAATAAAAAATGCGCTGTCATGTTAACAAACAACATATCCTAAAAACAGGACAGGTCAAAGTAAAATGGACAATATGGAATGGACAATCACAACTGTTGTCTAGGAGTTTCACCCCATTGTCATGATCAGTGGTTTCAAGTTTGTATCCGTACATTTTTGACAAGCTGATCATAGTGAAAAAGAAAATACTTCTGCATTTCCCGCTGTGTAAAAATTGTAAAGGCTAGCGATAACTCCTGATAAAGTTGGGTAGCTGATATTCAGAGCATAAATAGACAAAGTGATTAGTCACAGGAATCAGGACTAATAAAGCCAATGCAATGGCCTGTTTTACAAATGGATGGGCATTCATAAAATTCAATTTCAGGCAACACTGTAGGCTACACCTCAGTAAGCACGGACCGACACCGACGCATTTTGGACGTCTTTTTTTGGTGCAGTTCCGGAACGGCCTTGATTTCAACATCCATGGACATAGATTTTTGGTCCGGTCCATACCAAATCTGAACCAATCATAGATGTCTATGTTTGGTTCAGGTTCAGAACCTAAATTGATCATAACTTCAATGTCTGGAAAATACATATTTTAGACGTCTTTCCAACTTCATATTGCTTACTGGGACTATTCTAGTCCCTGTAAGCAATACAATGGTTTACCGCCTATGGCGGCAGAACGGCAAGGACCGGTCCTGGCTTAAACTAATGCAAATGCAGCTACTTTGCTGTTATTCTGGCTGCACTGTTTGACGTGACTGTAAGTTAGCCGTAGTTGGCTAGCTAGCAAGCAAGGGATAAGAACGTTGCCAGACAGTATGGCAATAGAACATTTAGAACGAACGACTGCGTCGCGTCCATAGATACAGAACAAAAAGACTTAACGACTGGGTCGCGTCTCTGGCAACCGAACCGATAGAAAGATCGACCAGCCGACTTGGGTAGCAACCCTAGATTTGTGTCGGGACTATATCTCGTGGAAGGATGAAATAGTATGAATAAATTCATCAAAATAGTGTGCAAGAGTGTGCAAAGCTGTCATCAAGGCAAAGGGTGGCTACTTTGAAGAATCTCAAATATAAAATATATCTGTTTAACACTTTTTTGGTTACTACATGATTCCATATGTGTCTTGATGTCTTCACTATTATTCTACAATGTAGAAAATAGTAAAAATAAGAAAAACCCTGGAATGAGTAGGTGTGTCCAAACTTTTGACTGGTACTGTATAGATATATAAAAACAATATCTAAAGAAATCCACACACACTCTCTTCCACACATACACACCCCTAGAGTACATGAAGTATAAGCAAATCCAATGCAAGTCAATGGTGACTGGAGAGTGAGTCATTTTACAGTGTTCTCCCTCTTTCTCAGATCTTAATCATGTTCAGATCTTAATAATATTTGGTATATACAGTGCTTTCAGAAAGTATTCACACCTCTTGACTTTTTCCACATTTTGTTGTGTTACAGCCTGCATTTAAAATGGATTAAATTGAGATGTTGTGTCACTGGCCTACACACTGTACCCCATAATATCAAAGTGGAATTATGTTTTTAGAAACTTTTACAAATTAATTAAAAATGAAAAGCTGAAATGTCTTGCGTCAATAAATATTCAACCCCTTTGTTATGGCAAGCCTAAATAAGTACAGGATAAAAAATTTGCTTAACAAGACACATATTAAGTTGCATGGACTCACTCTGTGTCTAATAGTGTTTAACATGATTTTCGAATGACTACCTCATCTCTGTACCCCACAGATACAATTATCTGTAAGGTCCCTCAGTCGAGCAGTGTATTTCAAACACAGATTCAACCACAAAGACCAGGGAGGTTTTCCAATGCCTTGCAAAGAAGGGCACATATTGGTAGAGGGGTAAAAATGAAATGAAGCAGACATTGAATATCCCTTTAAGCATGGTGAAGTTATTAATTATACTTTGGATGGTGTATCAATACACCCAGTCACAAGATACAGGCGCCATTCATAACTCAGTTGCCAGAGAGGCCAATGGTGACTTTAAAACAGTTACAGAGTTTAATGGCTGTGATAGGAGAAAACTGAGGATGGATTAATAACATTGTAGTTACACCACAATACTAACCTAAATGACAGACTGAAAAGAAGGAAGCCTGTACAGAATAAAACATATTCCAAAACATGCAACCTGTTTGCAATAAGGCACTAAAGTAAAACTGCCAAAAAATGTTGCAAAGAAATGAACTTTATGTCCTGAATACAGAGCGTTATGTTTGGGGGAAATCCAACACAACACATCACTGAGTACCACTCTTCATATTTTCAAGCATGGTGGTGGCTGCATCATGTTATGGTATGCTTGTCATCGGCAAGGACTGGGGAGTTTTTTTTAGGATGAAAATAAATGGAATAGAGCTAAGCACAGGCAAAATCGTAGAAGAAAACCTTGTTCAGTCTGCTTTCCAAGACACTGGCAGATAAATTCACCTTTCAGAAAGACAATAACATAAAACACAAGGCCAAAAATACACTGGAGTTGCTTACCAAGACGACATTGAATGTTCCTGAGTGGCCTAGTTACAGTTTTGACTTAAATCAGCTTGAAAATCTATGGCAAGACTTGAAAATGGCTGTCTAGCAATGATGAACAACCAACTTCACAGAGCTTGAAAAAATAATGTTAAAAAAAGTATTGTACAATCCAAGTGTGCAAAGCTCTT